AGAGAGAGAGAGAGAGAGAGAGAGAGAGAGAGTAGGCCTGTGGGTTCATCTCCAACGCCAGGAAACGAAGGGAAAGGTCGAAGTCCACTAAAAGGTTAGACAATAAGTTGTGCTCTGCTATTCATACAACGTCAGAGATATAAAGATGTTTGTCAGTTAGATCCGGTCAATATGTAATCAGGTATGATTTATTAAATATGATTCAGTTTATATGATTAGATATGATTCTAACTCATATAATTAATTATGATCCAATTCATAAGATTAAATATATTTTAGCTAATTTAATTAGATATAACTTATGATAAGAGATAATTAAACATATGTGATCAAGTACAATCTAACCCATGTGGTCAGGTATAACATAATCTATACGATGAGTTACGGTACAATCCATGTTGTCATAAAAATAACTATAAATATGATATTTGATGTAATGCTGGTGTATGTTTGATGTAATGCTCATGCTTATATTTTTTTATTTTATTCATGCTTTACACAACATATAGAGGGCTTACAGTAAACTTGACAATCTCACTTCGATTGAGTTTTATGATCCTTTTAGGTTTATAAATGTATATTGTTTGCAATCATCGCACATATATAAAATTGTCTAAGTCATCTAGATAATCATTTTAGGGGTTTTATAGCTACGTAGATTGATACATAATGTTAGCTAGCACAACACCCAAGAGCTACTCGGGTGGCATATAGTTGTATGAGCATTTAGGATAATGTCTAGGTTTGGATCGTTATCTTGTTCCATAGTGTGGGGACTTTTGATCGCATCGGATAACCTTGAACATTTTGTTGCATGATCATTTAGAGCTTGCGAAGTCTATGTTTATAATTTGTATTGTTTATCAAGTGTTTGCTAAAATAGTTACTTGTAAGATCCCGAGTTAAACGTTTCTTCTAACCCATTTTTCTTTTTGTCGATCCTTAAGGGATCATAAGAGATTTTTAAGGAGGCTGACCCTTTTGTAGATAGACACATAAGGGTGTCAGACATATTAGGTAAAACTAGTTAATTCCATAATAATGTGGCCAAGTATGACGCAGTTCATGTGGTCAAGCATGGTCCAGCTCATGTGACCAAGCACAACTCAACTCATGTGATCAAACATGACCCAACCCATATGGCTAGACATGATTATACCCACGAGCCAAGCATAACCTAGTTTAATGGTAAGATTTAGCCTAACTTGTGAGCAAGGCTCGACCTAACTCGTGAAGCTAGACTCGCCCAATTATGCGACTAACATTATATATATTATCGCTCCTCTATCCAATTCATTATACCTCAATCGAACTTGTTACCCGGGATGGGCATATGCGATGCACGTGACCCATCCAAGATTTAGGTGAGTCAGTTCAATCTAAGTTAGCACTATATGACATAGTCCAATTTCTTCTTCCTTTATTATTTTAAACTTGTTAATTGATTAAATCAAATAAGTTTGATCGTCGATTTAAGGTGATTTCATACCAACTTAACTAGTTCAAACCCACTTGACCTAATTAAAATCAATCAAATCTAAATTAGACAAATCTGGGATGATTCCATGTCGACTCTATAAGGATTTGAGATTGATTCTATTAGGTCTCAATTGAATTGAGTGTAATTTAAGTCAATTTGGCTACTCCAATTAGGGTTCTTGTTGATTGATGACCATTGAGAGATTGATTTCTTATATTTTTATGATTTAGTAAATACAAAAGTTTTATCTAAAGATATCATTCGAAAATAATTAATAATTTTATATTATTATTTTTAGATTAAATTCATGATATTGATGTGATTATTACTATGTAATATATGTGAATATGCTAATGATCTATATTGAAAGTGCAACCTATGAGAGGAGATAGGGCCCATCACATTGTGAAGCCACTAATGAATATAATCTAATAGATTATATATCAAGCATAATTTTCTCATAATATTTTATCATACTATTTCTTGGATGCACACATGAATGAATGAATATAAACGAATGATCATGATTGTTTAATTATCCCTGCTTAGGGTATGTAAAGTGATTCTCTTTGGGGATTAATGAGCCTTTAAATGTGAGGGTTAGATGATTCCTCCATCCACGGTTAGAAGAAACGCATCACTGCTAGGACAAATGAGGGATACCACTCTATTTGTTATTGAGAATACGATATGAGTTCACAATTCGTTATTAGAAAGAATCTATTATGTAAAATATGTATTTCCATTCGTTGTTGGGAGAGTACAGGTGTGATGAACGTCTTTGTTATTTGAATGTCATGCATGTGACTAATCTATAATTTTATTTAATATATAAGAATTATTATTATTATTATTATTATTATTTTAATATATGAGTTTTATAAGGAATTAATATATTTTATATTAAATCAATAATATTTTTATATATAGAGTAGATTTATAAAGATTAAGTGAAGTTGATAGTTTTTTTATTTAAATCTGACATGTGACACTAAAGTTATTGGTAGAACTTTCATGTTGGTGTAATTAAGCTTATGTTAGGCATCTAATTGTTTGAAGCTAAATATTATAAAGCTGAATTGCATTATGATTCTGTGCTATGGTAATACGACAGCCATTATTCATCCAAATTAACACCATGAACAATGTAAATGTTAAACATTTACTAACATAGGAATCTACAATGATCAGGGAGCCCACTTTTGGGATTAAATTAGGTGTTATAATCTTTCAATTTAAGGTTTACTTAAACCATGTCAAGCTCGATATGATCGAAAATCAAATCTCCTACACTTAGATTTAATATCCTCATCAAAACTAACATAGTCCAAAATTTTATCCATAAGATATAATCCAGATATGATTTCATATCATGATATGTCATTTGACTTTATCTTATTTGCTTTATATCTCTCACCATGATCAGTACTAAATACTAGTTATTATAATTTAACCTGTTGAGATGATCGAGTCATTAAGTTTGTTGAGTTTGAATTATTAGCTCTCAACCTAAGTTAATAATAATGATTCATCATATCCTTGTAAATCAAATATAAGATATTATTCAAGTGTTATAAAGTGTTATAACCTCATCCTCAAATTTAGTAAGTTTCAATTGAATATCTTTCTCTTTCTATTTACTATGATTTCTAATAAATGAATATCAATATGTTTGCTTTGATCACGATAGATCAGATTCTTGATGGATGTTATCCTGGGATCACTTATGTAGCCTTCATGTTGCATTTCTTTCTAAGAGCTTTCAAAGTCACTTACATCTCGTATGCAGGAAGCTACACGCAATGAATTGGATTGATTCTATTTTTAAAAAAAATAGAAATTAAAGAAAAAAAAGCAGTGACATGATAAGTAAGTGAAGCAATGAAAGTGAATTTTAACAATATTTGTTCTTCATTTTTTTAAAATCTCTAAAAATATAAAGAATACGAATGCTTTTATTACTTTGCTCCACTTTTCTTGTCATTTTTTTTTTAAATATCCATTTTTAAAATTTAAAGAAGAAGAAGCCGTTAGACAAACATCACACAAATTGCTTAGGAATATAGATTTTGCATCCAACTCTTACATCTTTCATCATTGAAAGAGGGGAAAATAAAAAAATAAAAAGTGAATTAAAGCTTGAAATGTTGGATGATCAACAAAATAATTATAAAATCATATGAATTTTATCAATATGTCTACCTTATAATTATCTACTCTCACTCAAATCTCATATCTTTTGAGGAAAAAAATTACGTACATAATCTTACTATGTAAGATTATAACATCCCAATTAATTTCACATAAAAAATAAATAAGATTGAGATTAACCTCATATCACAAATGAACAAAATTAAAATTAACTTATAAAAATTTATTGAATGTATTACTATCAACTTCATTTTAAATGACTAGTGACTTATATCAAACACAAATTATGATAATAATCATGTCGATATAATTTTTAATTTTTAAAAATCACGTAAATGATTAAGAAGAAACCTTCTTGCTAATATTGTAAAACGATCATGTCGTTATAATTTCTAATTTTTTATTTTTTTAAAATAGAAAAGAAAATTTATTAGGTAGGGACATAAGATGCGAAACAACTATTAAAAAAAATAAAATAGCACACATGTCAATGTTGTACTTTTCATTAAGGTCCAGGTTCGAGAATTCACTCCGATTATGATTTAAGACTTGTCGAACCAAGGTTCGATTCGAATTAGAATCAAACCGAATTAATCTTGAATCAAAATTGAACTAATCTGACGATTTCAAATCGAATCGGACCTGAATCTAGACAATTCAATTATGATTCCTAATTTTTTTTAAAATTAAAATAAATAATTCTAATTTAATTGACTGTCGAAATAAAAACCGAAATCATCGATCGTGGACGAGGGTACCTAGTTGCGTCTTCCTTATATGAATATTCCCGGTTGCCATAAGAATGGGATCCATCAAACATATAACAGGATCATGACCTAGCTGTTTTCGATCCGACCCAATAGCTTCCTTTCTCATATTCCCAGTTCGCAAGGGAAAGCAGCAGAGGGTTGAGATGGGAGCAATAACGAGCGCGGTGGTGGCCATGGTGGTGGTGATCCTGGGGTGGATCACCATCGAGATCGCCTGCAAGCCCTGCCTCGAGCAGGGCCGCGAAGCCATCGACCGCGCCCTCGACCCCAACTACGATCCGGACTCCTCCCTCATGTCCCAGAACCGCCCCACCGCCGCCACCGAAGAACCCCTCCTCGGTCCCGCCCCTTCCGCCACGCCCGCCTCGAGTATCAAGTGATCCGCGCCTCGCCTCTCCTTCTTGACCAGGTAACGTTGCCGATCGATCTTTGGATGACCGTCTTTGTACCCATCTGTTCTACATGTTTGTTGCCCCTTTTCTTTCTTCTCGAGGATTGACAGGCGTTCTGCCTAATGAATTATAATAGCTGGGTGTTGATCTATCTTCTTCTTCTTTTATCCTTACTTGTTCTCTATTCTGAATTTGATCTGTCACTATTTCCTATGAGTTTGTATTAAGAAACACGGTGTTGCTGGCGCACAAGAAAGAATCCAAGATTGTGTTTTTATTGTGTGGGTGTATCTCTTCGAAATCTTCTTTCTACTTTAGAAAACTATGTTAAAGACGAGATTCTTTTTCCTTGAAATCCATTTGGCATCACCAGGGTTCCCATTGGAGTGCCAAGGATTTCTATATCCCTATCAATCCATGGGTTTCATCTCTAAGGAGAAATTCCAGTGGTTAAGGCCCAGCATGTATAGTGAGCAATTATTTGGATAGATTTGTACCTGGAGCAGAACAAAGCACACCGCGGTCGGCACTCATCAACATCTTCAACCTTCCAAGGGTTTGTGCGCTGAGTTCTCGACCCATGTCATCCTCTCCAAGATCCAAGTTCCCTGTGTTTCAGATCCTGTTAGGATTTAGAACGGTCAAGCTGCAGCAGCTTACTCGAACTCGGCAGAGAAAGTCCACTGAGGAAGACATATTACTGGAGTTCTTGAGAAGCACAAAGCACCTAATGTTAAGAAGAGCATTAGCATGGAACAAGAAGCAATCCATAAACCCTAAACAACGAGGAGTTAATTGGTCAAAATGGAGAGTAATTATTGGTCAATCTAAGTTGATCAATAATTAGGAGTTAATAAGAGAACTTACAATAGAAGATTGATTTAAGTCAACCAGAAACGAACTTGGATGGAGCTTATCGGTAATGAAATATCATTAGATGGAACCTCTAATCATACATTTGGACCTTTTAAGACCAGTTGTTAGGAAAAGGCTCCAAAAAAATTAGTAGATGCATCAATCTTATGAACATATAAAACAACAAACTTCATACGAAGGAAAATGCAAACACTTCCATCTGTTCTTGTTGCATGAAAGACCGAGTGCAGTCCTGTAATCTGATAGAAAAACACATGTATCCATCTCTAGTTTAGGAAAAATGCATAACCTATTTATTTTCAATGTTTCATGACAGCTAGTTTAAAGAAAAACTGGAGATCTATAATCAGTAAGATAAGAGTGGTTTCTTCCAAATCTCAGAAAGACATTTTCATGGAAATTATCAAAATCGTACGACAAAGACAGGCTAAGAGTTTACCAAAACTGAAAATAGAATTTCATCTCAAAAGTGAAGATAAGGCCAAGTGCAGTACTCTATTTTAATAGAAAAACATCTCAAAATTCCGTCCCAAAATGAAGATATGGTTCAAGTCACACAAGGAAAGAACTTTGGTCAGTAGCTTGTATATATGACATGCTTATGGGTAGAATAGAAGGATAAGGATTATCTGGAGGATAAGATAAAATTAGTTTTGTTCCAACTCTGAGAAAGACATTCTTATGAAAATTATCAAAATCATACAACATAGACTTCCCAAGAGTTGGGCAAAAGTCAAGTTAAAATTCCATCCCAAAAGTGAAGATATGACTGAGTGAAGCACTCTATTTTAATAGAAAAACATGTAGCCAGGAAAATTGCATGACCTATTTATTTTCAATGTTTCATGACAGCTAGCTTAAAGAAGAAATGAAGAGATGGTTTAGACCGCACAAGCAGAAGGTTTTAGTCAGTAACTTACATAATACATATAACATTGCATTAGAAAGACAAAAAAACCCATTACATAAGGTTATGGGTCGAAAATAAGGGATTTTAGCAGGATTATCTTTGTTAACGATAAAGATAAGAATAGTTTTCTTCCAGCCCTTAGGCAGAAAGACATACTTCTGGAAATAGACTACCTATGAGTTTCCCGGAAGTGAAGATAAAATTCCATTGTACATTCATCAGACACAAATCTCAAGTACGTCGAGCAACAAAAATCTCCCAACAGGAGAACTCTTCAGTCAAACAATCTCATATTTTATTATTTGAAAAAAATAAGGCAAATAGACTAATCAATATTGTATGGCAATTGCTGGCACAATAATATATCAAAATCCAGTTGGAAAAGTAAAAAACTAAAATTGTTTTGATCGTGAATATGTTTCCATTGTCCAATTTTAGGATCCTAATCGTGTTTAATCTTTTCCTCACTCTGACCATATTAAGCATTTTCATCCCCTTTCTCTACCCATTAAATTCTAGCCCTGACCATCATTTGATGTGAATTTATTTTTAAGGGCCATACATTTATATTGTTGGAGAAAATTTAAAGTGAAAAAAAATCAACATTATCAATTTCAGTAACATCTTCAAAAGTTCAGTTGTCCAAAGCAAGTATGCAAAGCATGTATGTTTAGTGGAGTAGACTTGATCTAACGTGTGGTTCTTCTAAACTCTTCTGAAAGACCAATGAAGAAAGGAAAAATAATATCATCCACTAGCATGAAGATTTATCTTTAAAGGATCAAAGAGTTTCATAGGTGAAACATCTTCACTGTCAACTATTCCTAAAACATTCTTGATGCTACTCTAAGCCTCCGGTAGATCTCTTATAGCAGGATTATGCTGCAGTACTTTTAGATATGATGTTATGAAAGGAGCACTCCAGCTAGAATTACTTGCAAAATATTAATGCCATCTGTGATCTAAGCAATTATATGAGAGTAACTCTAAAAGCACATACCTTACATAATATGACATGAAGCAAACATAATAACTCTAAGATAATTACTACAGAAAAAAAAATACATGTGGTACAACCACTCAACTCTACGAACGCATCCATTATATAATGTTAGGTATGATGTTATGAAAGGAGCCCTCTAATTAGAATTATTTGCAACATATTAGTGCTATCTATGATCTAAGCAATTAAATGAGAGCAACTCTAAAAACAGATCCATTTTATAATGTTATGAAAGGAGCCCTCCAATTAGAATTACTTGCAACATATTAATGCTATCGAGGATCTAAGCAATTATATAATATGTTTTTTTGAAAAAAATTGAAACTCTAAGAAAATTACTACAGAAAAAAAACGATGTAACCATTCAACTCACCAAGTTCAAGTTGGAGAAGGAATCCGACATAGGCACAGTGACCTTGAAGGCCTACAGCAACGAGAGCAGCAACCAGTGTGCGATTGCTCTGATCCCCAGTGATCACAGGGAGAGAGCCAACAATCTCCTTGTGCAACTGGGGAGCTAATACGGAGAGGGTCTTCATCAGCCACCTAAACTGGTTTATAATGAGGTATCGCCCTTCAGTGACACATCGCCGTTATCGCTGCTGAAACCGAGATTGGATATCCGAGCCAAGCCTCTTTTAGGGCGACGATATGCTGGAATCGAAACCCTGGATCAAGAAAATAAACTAGTCTGACCCTCGTTGAATAACAGAAAATGGCGGGTGGAAGGGGATGAGAAAGGGGAAATCACCGACCGGCTGGGGGGAGGGATTGAGCAGGGAAGGGACGGAAGCCGCCGTGAGGGTCGCGGATGGTGCATGCGGCTCGGCAAGCGGAGCAACCATCGCGGCGCGTGCCGATCGTCGCCATCTCGTTCGCCTCCTCCTCGCTCGCTTTGGCGCTGCCTTGGATGCGGTGATGGCAGCGGCGCGGAATATGTGATTACGAATTTCACCCTATTTGAATGAAAATTCAACTATTTTTTAAATATATTTTTAGTCCAAATTGCGATATGAATACTTTTCTATTCATTATATTCATTTAAAACTTGAATTATCATCATTTCAAAAAAATAGAATAAAATAACATAGTGTTGGAAATAAACAATAAAGTTTCTGTTAAGATTTCATGATGCTTCATCCCTTTTAAATTATTTTCCCATTATTTTGGTAGCATTGGTCATTATGTTATATTTTATTATAATATTAACTATAATAATATATGTATTTTTAATATATTAAAATAATATATGTCGTTTTGCTCGTTAATTATGACTTTTTGTTAGTTACTAACACAAAAGTCTTTATATCCAGCATAATCCAATAGAGAGTAATTACAAGGCAATAAGCATCGTTTTCTCATCCTGACAATTCCTGCACGCCAACCATGTCTTAACATCAATAAATTACCCGCAGAAAAAATCATGTCTTGAGTCATCTAAGTCATCTAAACCCAATCACCATCCTCGGACCCATCCCGTTTCCAGATATCGTCGAGCCGGACATGAATCAATGGCCCGTATCGTCCAGGCCCCGCAACGATTGGTGGAACCCGCGCTAATGGACGGCTCGACTGGAAGGAGATGGAGACGATCCGAATCCATTGGACCGGACCGTGGCGTGAACCCGGGCCGGCTCAAATCTTCGACGCTTTCCCCTAAATTGACTCCAATAAAACCGAGATCGAATCCATCTCGCCTACTTGCCTCTCGCTCGCTCTCCTCCCCCCCTTCTGTGCCCTGCGTTCTCCGCTCCCTCTCCTCCCATTGCCCCTTCTCAATAGCCGCCCGATCTCCCCCCAATTCCCTTCGCCTCCGCCATGCACTTCTCCGATTGATATCGATTGATGACTCAACACAAGCGGCCCTTTTCCTGCAGCAGAAGCGGCGGCGGCGGCGGCGACGGTGGGACCACCACCACCAACAGCAACAGCAGCGGCGCATCCGGAGGATCCACCCTTCTCTCCCCCGATTCATCCTCCTCCATGAAGAAGGCGAAGCCCCTGCCGGCGGCCGCTTGCTCCTTGGAAAAGGAGAAGAACGGCCTCCACCACCACTTCGACACCGCGGCGGCGGCGGCGGCCGTGGCTGCTCGACCTGGGAAGGAGGAAGACGCGATGCTCGTGGACCAGGAGGAGCTGAAACCTGGGGCGTCCGTCCCCGTCGCTATGACGGGGGTTGCTGCCAACCTGTCCAGGAAGAAGGCCACACCGCCGCAGCCGTCAGCCAAGAAGCAACTCGTCATCAAATTTGTTAAAGGTACCTCCGTTTTGCAATTTTCCTCTGTTAAATTGCTGTCTGGGTTGGGCACGATACGCAAATTTCTTGGTTGTAGCCCTCGTGGTCACATCATCGTGGTTAGTCTTTGGCTGATTCCTGAGTTTCCTTCAATGCTTTCATTTATTGCTAAAGACCAATTTGTCATGGAATCATGATACCGAAAGTCTCGGTGTCATCACTGATTTATCATTGTGTCGGCACTTAGAGGATTGCATGACTCATTTCCAATGTTTATCAAGAATCATACTGCCATCTTCATCATCCCTTTCCTTCTGTCTTTCTTTAGCAAATGAGAATATTATTCAATGAAATTGATTCACTGTACTCCACCCACGTCATGAAAAGTGGTCAAAACTTTTTCCACCTTAGGGTTGGATTATTAACAGTGTTACATCCTTCTCATCAAAGGAACAGTGGTTCCATTCTTCCAGATATAAGTCATTATATCAATAATAAAATTGATTAATTGATTGGACTTTTGCTTGATGCTGTTAGATTTATTTTCAATTAGTTGATTTTAGGAGAAATTTTTATGGCACAGGCTTATTGCCCTAATGTGTATTGTCAGATGTAAATGGTTTTCCCTGAACATGTAAATTTGGTTTAAATAAATCAAAGGAGTTGAAAATGGTTTGCTTAGTGTTTAGGTTATTCAGAGAACTTATTGTACTGGTCGAAGGAGGTCAACCATTATGGTTACTTCAAGTGCATAAGTTGATTTAATTAACTTGAATCAGATTACCCGTTCTCTATGATGATTCACAGTTAAATCTGGTGTGATATCTTAACACAAATGTTGCAGATCCTCATACTGGACTTTTCAGGACATGTCTCTCAAGTTTTGGGAGCAGGTTTATTTCGGCAATGTAGTTCCAAATAAAAGAAAATGCAAACCCAACCATTGTGAATCTCAAGATCTAGAGAATAAGTTTTTCCTTATTGTAGCTTGTCACTGTTTGTACACTATGATCAATGATGCTATTGCATGTGATTATCCTATTTTCATTACTATCCCAATTGATAATGCAATTGAAAGGAAAAATATATATTGATAAACTTTTCTTTTGAATGGGCTTTTATGGGAAGTCCAACTGCTGTAACTTGCCATACTGATAGAGCACCATTTGGTGGTTCTAGTATACTCTGAAGAAGCTCAGTATGGAAGTATAATTTTGCTAAACTGCATAATGAAATTTGAAATTTAGGAAATGAATCCCGAGTCCTGACTGGTTCCCTATGGTTCAATATGATCTTTCTGCATTTTATTTATTTGATTTTTTTAATCTATTATTTTACTTTTTTATCTTTTTTTCCATGTTAGCAATAACCATTGCATAGGCAACTGCCTGTTCCTGCACCATATATATTACATATTACATATGATAAACATTTCATTTTTTTTAATATCTATTATTTTATCCTTTTTCCATATCATCAATAATCATTCTTTAGGCCATCATTTTAAACATGTGTGGAAAAGAAACTGTTGGAGCAAGGCATGTTGCCTAAGTATTCCAATGCACAAGTGCTTGCTTCTGACCATTATTTTCTCTATCAGATTATAGATAACCATCATGTATGAATATTTTAGTTTTGGTGCATTAGACCAAACTCTATCTCTGCATAGTTAAAATATGATCAAGTGTGAAATTATGGTACTTATTGTTTTAAACTTTTTAGTGGCTGCTAACTCATCTAAATACCAAGCAAGTAGGAAGGGTCCCAACAATAGATATGGTCTATAATGACTCTACCTCACCCACATGATGCTTGTTGAAAGATTGGTGTGCTTGGCGCATTGTTCTAAGCATAAGACCATGGTGCAAGCCAAAGTTGAACGGTCTCTGCAGAAAGACGCATATGAGGTAAGACACTGGGTGCAGCTTAAAGGAATGGGGTGAGAGAAAAAGAAGCCAGGATTCAAACACTACTTGCTTCACTACCATGTAATTTTTGAACGCTACTAATTCATTTAAAGCTTAAGCTGGAGAAGGCCCACATATATATGATATGTAACATCATGTGTTTGCTTTTTTTTTTCCTTAAAAATTGCTTTTATCAGTTTTTTGGTACATTTGCACAGAAAGGGGGTATTTTTAAGAACACTTAGATCAAATCTTAATATGTGAAATATGGGCATGTAACCTACCTCAATAATCTGCTCCAAAGATAAGCACAAAAAGTATGATTCTTTTAGAGAAACTAGAGATAGTTGCTCGGTGGCTTTTGAGGTCATGTCATAATATATTTGTGAATTGGTTTGTGGATCCAATGTAAATGTCTATATGTGTAAACTATTGTTAGCCTTTATTTTATTGTGCAATTATCATTTTTTTATATGAAAGATTATTATGCATTACTTCAGTGCAAAATTAAGTTATTAAAGAAAAGATATCATGTCAAGAACATATGTAGAAAAGAACGACGCAGCGCACCTAAAATGTTGGAGTAAGGCATGCTGCCTAGGTATTTACATAATTGTGCTATATTTATTTATATATGTAGAAACATGGTATTGAATTTAGTCATAAGAGAAAGCATTTTTTTTCTCTTAAGACTGAAAGTCACGTAAAATGGCTGGTGAAGTTTAGACATTCGAAAATTTTCAAATGTACGTACATGGCTACATGTAACAAACATAGATATATATACACATATAATACATGTACCTAGTACTAATGTCCTGCAAGAAACATAAATTCCAGAATTTACATGTACTTCACTAGCAATTGATGTATTTACTAAGAAATCGGCTTTTGTCTTATCAATTGTCGATGCGATGAATCCTAGTATTGATGTCCTGCAAGAAACATAAATACCGGAGTTTATGTGTAGTTCACTGGCCATCACCTTTCATTTGTGACTGATATATATACTAAGAAATTGGCTTTTGTCTTATCAATTGTCCATGTGATGTTTCCTGTCAATTATATCAATGATGGTAACAGAGGAAGCAAACTTTACAAAGAAAGTTATAGATAAAAAGAATATCGAGGACTTATTCTTTTACATAAACTATCAACTTTCAAGTTTTATCTTGCTTTTCTAGCACAGGCTTAGAATTTTCTTCATAGAAAAAATTAAGAAAGTTAGTTCTTAAAATAAAGCAGTTACATGTTACTTGTTCTCCTGTTCCTTCCTTAGGTAAACCTTCAGTTCCTGCAAACTTTGAGGAGGATACATGGGCAACATTGAAGTCTGCTATTAATGCTATATTTTTGAAGCGACGAGATCCCTGTGACTCTGAAAAGCTCTATCAGGTGTTTTTTGCTAATCAATTTCTAAGCCTTGGTGCCTCCAGTTGTGATTAATTTGATGGATTATGAGAGTACTATTTTTTTGGCCTACAGGCTGTCGATGATCTTTGCCTGCACAAGATGGGAGGGAATCTTTACCAGCGTGTACAGAGAGAATGTGAAATACATATATCTAGGGCATTGTCATCATTAGTTGGCCAGAGCCCTGATTTGGTGGTATTTTTGTCATTGGTAGAGAAATGCTGGCAGGATTTTTGTGACCAGATGTTAACAATACGTGGTATAGCTTTGGTTCTTGATAGAACATATGTTAAGCAAACTCCAAATGTTCGCTCGCTGTGGGACATGGGATTGCAGCTTTTCCGAAAGCATCTTGCTTTATCTTCAGAAGTAGAGCACAAAGTTGTCACAGGACTTCTGAGACTAATTGAAAAGGAGAGGTGTGTTTTATGTTTTGTATTTTAAATCACTATGATAGATTCTTATCTTTAGAATATTCATTTGTTTACTTCGATGTGTTTGAAACCCACTATGATTCTTTTTTTATTTGATTCATTTACATCTTTGTGTCTGGTTTCTCGTGTTCTGATTTCTTGAGTTTACCTGTTAGCTTTTACCATGTGTAGCATCAACAATTTATCATCCTTAAGACTGAGAACCAGCAACTGAGAATATCGGGTTAAAGCTATAAATGGAAAATGGCTCTTGTTGATTTCTATGTTGGTATCTTTCTGTTGCATTTGGACTCGAGTGTTTGAACAGAGGTTGTTTAATGCCTTAAATCATCTGTGATACATTTAACTGTTTTCGGAATAACATTTGAAAAATATTAACTAAGTTTGAAAATACTAGCTTCAGTAGTAGAGTAAACATGGTATATGGCATAAAATGCCTGATTTTTTCATGCGTTAGTTCCGAGATTCTCAGGAGATGACTTAAGCTTTAAGAAAAGACATTGTCCTGGAACATAGAAATGATAGCTGAGGCCTGCACATGTAAGATTTTTGACATAACCTTACCATCTGGAGTTTACACCAGAAGGATATAAATCAATCTTAATATATTTGTGTCTTGATTTTGGTTGAAATAGGAGATAAGCAACCATTGAATGAATTTTCATTATTTTGATGTATGCAGAAGAACAATAGCATATGAGATAACAGAAAGAGGATTTAGAGGTAGGGCCATTGAAGAAAGGAGATTCACATTCAATCTCTGATCACCCTCTGTTTAAAACAAGGTTCAAAAACTCAGGTATCCGGCTTGGACCATATTAATAAGATCATATCGAAGCAAATTGTCAAATTGGAATTGGCTAAAATGGTCTAGGATCCATATTATCTATCTGGATCGGTGGAATTCCGTCCGGACTGACAGTATCTCTCTATTTGGACTTAATGCATTTGAGTCACCTCGCATCAGCTGGAATCTGTCTGGGATCTTCAATTGGATTTGGATGAGATGAAATTACCCTTGGATTGGCCATAATTGGTTGCAAACTGGGTCGCTGAGATTTCAGAGATCAGTTAGTTCATGTCCCTTTAAAGCGATTAGCCAATTCGTCTCTTGAACTCATGATCCAATGATTGACATATAGCAATGAAGACCCTGCAAGTTCATTCAAATTATACTGTGGAAGTGGTATATAGAGATTAGAGAATAAATCGGGCATTGAAGGTACATTGGTTAACGTATAATTATGAAGCCTATGAGAAGTTGAGGACTAGTTTAAATTAGAAAATTGTTGCCCTACATAATCCTACAGACGTGTACATATACCCTAATCAAATCCTAATAACTTAGAACTTCCTAGCCCCATTTGAAATAAAAATAAGTTCACCCATATGGTTTCCAGATGAATATGACTCCAAAACCACACTAAGAAGAATGATGAAGACTAACTGATAATACTTTAGTAATTTAGACTACGACCTATACTGATCGAAATTGAGAACAAACTAAATTTGCTTGCTATATTTTTTTCTCCTATTTCCAATTTAAATGAGTTCCTTGTTATTCTTTTTAGTGTTTTGTTCATAGAGTGGTCACATTTTGATTACTCGTTATTTGTGATGTAGAATGAGGAATTAAGTACCTCTTTAAAATCCCTGCTTTTTTTCCTTCTTTTATGAGAGATGAAAAAGGTGATTATTGGAAAAACTTTTGTAGACATTTGTTCCCTTGTACATAATCTTGAATTCTTTTTAATTTGTACCTTTCCTTTCATACTAGCCTTAGCTTGCATCATAGCACATTCAAAACCCTACCAGAGCTGCTGCTACAGTTACTATTCTTTTTCTTTCGGTTTTCAATTTTGTCAGTATTCAGCATGCTAAATTTAAATCTTTGGTTGTTAGATTAATTTGCACCCTTTCTAGTTAGTTTTCTACCCTCAGATTTATAATTCATCACAATCTAAGTGCAGGCAGAGATTCCATTTACCACACATTTTAATTATAGAACTCTTAAATCTTGTGTCATATTTTCTGATAGATTTCAATACTCTTTTGTCCTATAAATATACAGTAGTTAATGATGCACAACTGGTGGCTCATATTTAGCTAACTAGTTATTTGCACAAAATTGAAAATTGCTTCTTTTATCATTGTTAAAGGCAGTTGTTTGGACATTGGGAAGTGCTGGTAGACATGACAATTGATGTAGATGAATGTGTTTTCCTGAACAAAGGTATCATGCCAATGTCCATTACAAGGGCATTAAGCATAAGAATACGTCGTCTTAGTTGTCCGTTTATGTTGTCTAACATGAGATATAGTTATCCCTTTATGTTTTTCTGGCATTGTCTCGATGCTATATTGTTTTTTTAAAAGTAAATCACATAAGTTAGACTAGGATATTGTATCTTGTAGACTAGAGTATCATATTAATTTCTTGTTAGCTGTCTTTTTCTATTTCAAATTGTGAACTTTTACACAATAGCACGAATGCAGATATCATGCATGTAACATGACTATATAATACTTCTTTCTTGAAACAAAAAATATTTTTTTTTTGTGCTTGCTATTGTGGTGTGTGCTGGCCAGCATATGCCAAAACAATTGCATAGGGTGTGTCGGTGTGCTCTGATATGCTGCAAACCTTGTGCTAGTATCATCCTTGCATGGATTGAAACACAAAACAATGAATTTACTATGTGGAAGCCCCAGGTATATCAAATAAAGCATAATTCATGATGATAGTGTACCATCCTACTTAAATATGTGGATCTTTATGGAATTTTTTTAATTGAACTGTTTATTTGCTGACCAGACAAGGTGAAGCTATTGATAAGACCGTCCTAAGCCATCTTTTAAAGATGTTTACTGCACTTGGAATTTACATGGAGAGCTTTGAGAAACTCTTTCTTGAATGCACTTCTGAGTTTTATGCTGCTGAAGGTGTTAAATATATGCAGCAGTCAGATGTTCCAGATTATTTGAAACATGTGGAGGTGAGATCCTTTTCCCCTGCATTCCACTACGATTTGTTCTATTTTGTTTGTGTTTCTGATTTCTTTCTATATTTTCATATTTTCTTTGGTTTAAACTTGCAGTCAAGGTTACACGAGGAGAATGAAAGATGCTTTCTATATTTGGATGTGAATACAAGGAAGCCACTTGTAGCAACTGCAGAAAAGCAACTTCTTGAGCGCCATACATCTGCAATTCTTGACAAGGTGACTTTGTTCATACATCCTGCTTAATTATGTTGCAACATCTAGTTTACTAATCTCATAATCACTAATCAGTACTTAGTGTACTGTTCTGATCTCATTGACCAGGGATTCACAATGCTCATGGAAGCCAATCGTGTTGATGACCTTCAAAGAATGTATACCCTTTTTCAAAGGGTTAATGCTCTCGAGCTAATAAGGCAAGCTCTTAGCTCATATATTCGTGGTACTGGGCAAGTAATTATCATGGATGAAGAGAAAGACAAAGATCTGGTTTCATTTCTCCTAGAGTTTAAAGCATCTCTTGACAAGATATTGGAAGAAAGTTTCTTCAAAAATGAAGCTTTTTCAAATACCATAAAGGATTCGTTTGAGCATCTCATTAATCTTCGTCAGGTAATGCTATAATTTCTAGGTTGATTGCAGCATTTAGGTGCTTTATCTTTATAGGCATGAAAATTTATTACTGAAACTATTGTATTTGCATATTCTCGAATCCCCAAATACCTTGGTCAATCTTGAAGACCATCAGTATTGGTGCATAAGTAAAATATATTAATTTGTCTTTTGTTTTATTGGTTGATCACTTCCATTATTGTGGAAGAAGATACTGTTAAAGACAAGGGTTTTAGTTTCAGATACCGGATCAGTCCGGGTCTCAGCCCAGACTGGTAAGGGTTCTGGATGCGCAAGTTTCTTTTTCTTTTGGTGTCCTTGGTCTACTGGACTCTTTTTTACCATTTCAAATTTGGGATTTTGAAAGTATCAAGAAAAGGTGATTGTATAGCACAATTCAAAAGACAAACACCAAGTTTTCCAAGATAAGGTGATTGTATAGAATGCATTTTGTGTGGATTACAAGTCCAAGGTAAGTAAACTTTGGTCAAACTTTTTTAGTACCTGTTTTTGTGAGTTTTTTGGAGTCCTATTGGTGCTTATAAGTCCTCATTTAAGTACTTTTTTTCTAATTTAAATAGGTTTTGGTTGGGAGTTTATTTAGTTAAATTTCAATGAGTTTCAGATGCTTTTTTTGGTGGACTTGTGCTATTATGAGTTCCCTGAAAAAGAAAATTGTATTCCATGAACTTTTCTTATTTTAAACCTTTTGACTTGACAAGATTTTGAAATTTGAGTATTTCTTGGGTTGGGATTTATTTAGTAAAATTTCAATGAGTTTTGGATGCTTTTTTTTGGTGGACTTGTGCTAGTGCGACTTCCCTGAAAAGGAAAATTGTATTCCATGAACTTTTCTTATTTTAAATCTTTTGGCTTGATAAGATTCCGAAATTTAAGTATTTCTTGGGTTGGGAGTTTATTTAGTAAAATTTCAATGAGTTTCAGACGCTTTTTTAGGTGGACTTATGCTATTACAAGTTCCCAGAAAAAAGAAAACTTTCTTCCATGAACTGTTCTTATTTTAAACCTTTTTTCTTCATAAGATTTCGATCTGGGGGATATGTTGTTGGAGAGAAACAGACTGCTTGATTTTTTAATATAGAATTTTCCTTTCCATTGTCAAAAAACAGAATAGACCAGCCGAATTGATTGCCAAGTTTGTGGACGAGAAGCTTCGTGCTGGCAACAAGGGTACATCTGAAGAAGAGTTGGAGAGCATGCTTGACAAAGTTTTGGTATTATTCAGATTTATACAAGTAAGCTATGCATATCTACCAGTAAATGCTCTTCTTCTTTGGTTCTCTGCTTAAGGATACATGTTAGAGAATATTTATAGAAGTTCTATTATAAGCATTCTTCTCTTTTATATTGATTCAGGGGAAAGATGTTTTTGAGGCATTTTACAAGAAAGATCTTGCAAAGAGGCTGTTGTTGGGGAAGAGTGCATCAATAGATGCTGAGAAGTCAATGATCACAAAGGTAATAATAAATATTGCCAAAGCTTGCTGCTATATTTCATCTAAAATTTTACATCTAAAATTTTTCTTGCCTTTTCAGCTGAAAACCGAGTGTGGTAGTCAATTTACAAATAAACTCGAAGGGATGTTTAAGGTATGTAATCACATATATATAATTGTTTAGTGATTCCAATTGTTTTTGAAGATACAAACCCTAAATTCTGTTATTCTTGGAAGAAAATTGTTACATAGCATATTTTTCATTTGTACATGGTTATTGCAATTAAATTTAATAAATTTTCCTGTTAAAGAAGTGCAAGTACTTGATGACAGATTAGTTTTTTAAGCATTTGAGTTTCTTGATTTAGTATGACAAATTATCCATCACTTTCTTCTTTGGTTTCAAGTAATTGTTTCATGCTGATTTTGCTCAGGATATCGAGTTATCCAAAGAAATTAATGACTCTTTTAAACAATCGTCCCAAGCCAGGACAAAACTTCCAACTGGTATCGAAATGAGTGTTCATGTCCTGACAACCGGGTGGGTGTTGCCTGTTTCTTTTGTCTCAGTCTAATCATTTAGGTTTTGAGTCTGTGCTTTGGGTTAGACTAGATTGTGCCTTTTAACATTAACTTCCCCTCTCCTGGTGTGTATAGGTATTGGCCAACATATCCACCTATGGATGTCCGGCTTCCGCATGAGCTGAATGTTTATCAGGTTTGATCATGACAATTAGTACAATAAAATTATGTTTACCTGCATCCTGTTGCTTGTAATATTGTTCTTTTTGTTTAAATCATAATAGGATATATTTAAAGAGTTCTATTTGAGTAAGTACCATGGGAGGCGTTTGATGTGGCAAAGTTCATTAGGTCACTGTGTTCTAAAAGCAGAATTTCCGAGAGGTAAAAAAGAATTATCAGTATCGTTATTCCAGGTGGGTCTCTCACTGATTTATCGATAAATTCCAGTGCTGATCGAAGTTAACCTGCACCTGAATTTCTTTTGGGGTTTTTCATGTCTTCAGGCTGTTGTTTTAATGCTTTTCAATGACACTCAAAGGCTTAGTTTGCAAGATATTAAGGACTCTACTGGCATTGATGATAGAGAGCTGAGGAGGACTTTACAGTCACTTGCATGCGGCAAAGTTCGAGTTTTACAGAAGGTAAATCCTTGTGGCAAATGTTCCTTCTTATTGGTACATCTATTTATTTTTAAATGCTCTTTGCTCTGCAGATCCCAAAAGGAAGAGAGATAGAAGATGAGGATTCTTTTGTATTCAATGAAGAATTCACAGCTCCTCTGTATCGTATAAAGGTAAACTTTGCCTTTGGGAAATCAAAATAAATTTTGGATACCAGCAGTAGAGCTAAGATGTGCTTTTTACAGGTCAATGCAATCCAGATGAAGGAGACAGTGGAGGAGAACACAAGCACCACTGAAAGAGTATTCCAGGATCGTCAGTATCAGGTCTGTTCTATATGCAGATTGCCAACCATCTCACTGTTCTTAACCAAACAAATGAGTGAAGATTTTAGCTCCTGAATCAAATGAATAATTCTTATGTAATAGCTGGTAGTCTTTGCAATTGGTTTCATACAAATCATCATAGATCTAAAGTTGGCCTTATGATTAAAAAATGCATAGTAATGGAGGAAAAAAAATTATAAGGGCACTTTACTTTAGCAATTTGCATTCATGCTTGAAAGATTATCAGATTTTGAGTATGGGAGTAGTGAAATTGAAGATGAATGCCTTGAAACAATACTGGGGTTAAAAGAGATGAATATTGAAAGGGTAAAATAGTGTTGCCAGGAGTACATGTTTAGGAGAATGCCCCTTTCCCAACTGTATCTGGCAGTGGTAGCTACAATAGTGTTACCCACCACTTGTTCTATTTGCATAGATGTGTTATTTTACAAGCTATATCCAAGTTAATGCTCCTTTGAGCATTAACTGAATCTTCAATTAAACCACCAGTGAACTAATATGGATCAAGTAGATGAGGTTCACATGTTAAAATGTTAGTCCGATCACTGACTGAACCTAGATTGCTGGCCAAGCTGGCCTACAAGTGTGGTTGACAAAGTGAAACAATGCCATGTTCAGAATATATGGGGACTCAACAAATTTGTCCAGACCATTGGTGGAGTCTATAAGACCATGACTGATCCTCAATGTGTCAAGATTTTGGATATTGAAATGTTACTTGGTTTCATGTCTGAAATTTGGTTGGCAAGATAGCTGGCAAGCAAACATTCACATGGTAAAGGATATTAATCTAAAATTGCACGGTCAATGAGGGTAGAGTTGCAATTGGAGGAAGTTAGGGAATAGAGATTAGAGTCGGTGGGAGGTTATAGTCATGTTTACGGGTTGCGAGATCACATGGCAGATGGAATTTGGGCACCAATCTAGTGAAAAATCTTTTGTTATCATCAACTTGGATGATGTTTGTGATAATCCATATCTTTTTAAGTTGCCGATAATTTTGCCAGTCAGCATTTCTTTGTTTGATCTATCACCTGAATGCCTATACTTTCTTAGTTATCTATAGTAGGTGGTAGGTCCCAAGAGACCTAGATCAAGAAGGTCTTCCAAGTAGCAATATTCCTTGATGGCCTCCCATTTTCATCGCAGGTTGATGCGGCTATTGTGCGTATTATGAAGACGAGGAAAGTGCTAAGCCACACACTTTTGATAACTGAACTATTTCAGCAGGTGACTGACAGACCATTCTGCATTCATGTATCTTTGCCTGTTAAATTATCTAATTCTTCTGCATGTCGTCTCTTGTAGCTTAAATTTCCAATAAAACCTGTGGACCTGAAGAAAAGGATAGAGAGCCTGATCGACAGGGAGTACTTGGACAGGGACAAGAACAATCCCCAGATTTACAACTATCTGGCATGATCCATCATTTGGCCGGTTGTGTCTACGGTTAGGGAACTTTTCCTTTAGAAACATGTTCGGGAGAGGCTTCTTTTACCATATCCCAAATACCAACTTTGTACAGAAAACCGTCATATTTTCTTTTCTTTTCTTTTCTTTTTTTTTCGATCAGCTGTGATAACTTACTAGAAATTATCATGTTCCATTTCTTCTTTGGGATTAATCACTCCAGAATAATGAGGTGATCCATTTACAGTTTTGCAGCCTATTTGGGGAGAATATACAGTTGTATATTGCAGATGGAATCCTTAGTATCAACAGGATCAGTCAAACGTGTCTTTTTTTCCTGGGCTTCTATCTGATGCATGAATATATCCTTTGTGATTTAGGTTATCGGAGTCAAAAGGCCAAAAATAATCTTTGTTTGCGGAAGTGAGACTGCCAAAATGAACCCTTGGGAACAATTTCTTTTTTGAAGGTATCATGTTATTATGATCCAAGTTCTCATGATCCGATCTGATGGGATAATCATCATAAGCTCCTTCAACTAGATTATTAATGAGATAAACATAGGCTCAAAATCTCGTACACTTTAGCCTTAATATCCTCGTTTTCACCTAATCAAATATTAGTATCATCATAAGAAACGTAGTTCTATCTCTCGTTGGTGAGTTGAAGGGAAGCCGACATAGCACATGTAATCCCCTATTAATCCTCGAGACATATAGCGTTTGTTCGTTGGATAAAATCTTGAATATATGAAAGTGATAAATAAATGCCATAATTTTTTTTTATGAATCAAATAAAATATAATTTAACACTAAATATATCATAAATAATTTAACCATACATATCAATCAGATTAATGATAAGATACTCAATAAATCACAAGACAAAATTTACATGAAAGAAGAAAAAAAAAACTATGAATAAACTAAATCAAATACTCTTCTTCTTCTTTAAAACCTCCACCCTCATTCCCATATTTCCACAACAAAGTTTAGTTTCCAAATGCTGAAACTTTTCTTCTAACATTTCATTCCCAGCAATTGCCTTTGCTCCATCAAGAGTTGCTTGACAGACATCACTTTCTTTTCTATCTTCTTGCAGCCAACACAAAACTAAGTTGGCCAAAAGAAGACAGGACAGGCTTAAGTACTCCAAACAGCTTGGAACTCATTGACATTTACTTCATGGAAGCATATCAAAACATCTCCAGATTATGAACCTGCCAACTCATTTAGTAGAATAAACCGGCCGATCGATCGAATCGCGTGCCGAATGAGGTGCACACAAGAGACATTTATCCCACTTACATCATCATAATATTTTTTTTTGTTAAACTAGATCCAAGTCTGAATTCAGAACATGTTCTTGATAGAAGTGGAAACATATCAATTTGATTCCTCTACCAGTTGTTTCAGCTTTCATCCTTTGACCAGATGATGTAGTACCAAACTAGTGGCGTTGGAGTGATCCATCGGCCATTACTTATTCCCCAAAGTCCTCCTCTTTGGCCAACAAAGATTAGTCGGTAGGTGGACAAAGCCTCAAAGAAAGAGCCAGTTGTTCTTGGTGAGGGATACCAAGACTAGTTTTAGCTGATCTTGGCATGAAGACAGGCTCAGATTTCATTGTGAATGCTTCCCAAAGAACAAACATGGTGTAATAATATCCCTCCACCATTGTTGGGAACTTCTCACTGTTATATAGTAAGCAGCTTTTGTACATCAATTGGATGAGCAGCACAAGCATGCATAGGAAACATTTAGTTATTAGTTAGTGCAAAAAACTTAAATCTTTATATCTTGTATCACAATAATCTCTATGTATCCACTTCTAAACATGATTAGCATTTATTTATTTGAGTTATATATAATATAAAATATTAAGAGTAGCCATAAATTAATTTTTAACATCATAATGAGTTCTTAATGAATATAAATATAAATTAATTTCAACTGGTAGTAAATGACAAAGATATGCCCAAGTTTTTATGCTGTAAAGAACTGTGCCATCTGCACTCAACTGCATAGCCCTTCATATAAGATTTATATGACCAGATTGGCTTCCGGCCTCACATTTATTGATCATTCAAGGAGAAATCTACCTCACTCCATTGCTCAACAAGCCAACAACAGCAAGAGCAAAAATATCCATTGGAAGAGTGCAAGTTGAATGTCCCCCTGAATCAGATAGGGATCAAAAGTCACACACACCCTTTTTGTTTGCTCTCATTCCAAAAGATGGAAGTGATCCATCCAATGGCCCCACCTTCCACTTTTTCTTCAATCATCCTAAGGGAGATATTAATGAGAACTTCAAGAGAATCCATAATGTACTTACTATATAGTAGTAGGTTGTAGCTTTTAAATGTCATCTTACAAATTTCTAATTATAAATAATTAATTTGGTTGCTGTATATGCATCCAGACTCATTTATTTTATACATTTTACTGCCATAATTTTAGTGTACTTGACTAACCTATCTTGCATTTAGTGATCAAAATCTAATCCTACAAATTTAACACCTAAAATCTTAGTTCAACACTTATACATCAAACTCACAAATCAAAATCTCATCTCATAAATTAAAAAAGTGCTAGTTAGCTCATCAATTAATTTGGCTTATAGAAGAATTCAAGTTTGATTTAAGACATATAACCAAAAAACTATTTATGTTGACTGAGTCAGATGTGGTCTTTTGACAAATTTGGTGTATGGAAATGGATACTCATATAACATCCTAAATAACAATCCATTCAAATAAATTTTCATTGGACACTCATATTTAGATTGACTGATTTATCCTAGAAAAATCAATGAGGTGATGTCAGTGTGAGTGAACACATTCCCATCACATCACCATAAAATTTTTCTGAGTTGTTTCAGTCAGTACAGATAATAATACTGTCTTTTTGGTTCTCCTATTGAAGGAAAAGAAAGAAAAAAAAGGCTCCACCCTCATTTCAACTTCACAGCCAACCACCTGTTCTTATCAATCCCTACCATCAATGCAATCAATGAGATCATCAAAAGTCAACCACACAATATCAGATTTTGTCTTGTTACTAAATCTTCTGCCTGAAGAAATCCTATTCTTAATAAAATATTTATGGATGTAAATTAATTTAATTTGAAGTAGGACAAGTTGTACGTATGCCAATGGCTTGATCCAACCTAACTCTATAATTAGAACTTAGGTTTCACCTTAGAATTAGATTGAGATAGACTAGGTTAGATTGGTCCATCCGATTAGCATTTTAGCAAATTAGATGTGAATTTAGATCTAATTTATTAAATTCAACAAATTAGATTTGGATTAGGTCACATTTGTCCTCTCTTTTTCACATATGGGAGACTTCCGTATCATACGTCTTTTCTTTCGTTATCGACTCTTATCATTACATCGTCATATTTTACTTAACTCTCAAATCTTTTAATTTTTAAGTAATATTTACTTAAATGGACTTAGATAATCAATACATATATTATTTTTAAATATACTAATAATATTCTTAGTTACTATATAATTAATTTGATGTACGAAAACATTATAAGCCTAATTAGAAATATCGTAATAAATCTAATTTTGATCGATCTAATTGGTTGAGTAAAAAATGTATTTTTTTATCAGAGTAGATTTTAGGTCCATAGTAAAGATCCAAAATGTGAGGCTTTTTTTAAAAAAAATTATCTAATTATATATATATATTTTTCCTGAGAGTTTTTCTAAAAATCATTACTGAAATATGCGCAAATAAAAATATCCATTATTATTCTAAACATGGCACAAACGAGACAGAAGGAAAGAAAACGTGGGGCGGCTGAGTCACAGGTCTCATCCCGCCACAGAATTCCAAGCACTGCGTCGTCACCCATACATATCATCAAACCGAGGACCACATCATCATCATCATCATCATCATCTCCTTCAACCCCGTAATTAAAGCCCACGTCGCCACCTATCAACCGTCCATGGGTGGACTCTGTTGGACCGCCTTCATTATTTTAATTGTACTCAAAATCCAACTCATACTCCACTCACTATCTACCCACCCCCAAACCCACCTTTGAAATGGTTGCTTCTATTTGCGGGTCCCACTAGACACAAGTAGCTGGGCAACGTGTGGCGTAGGTTCCACCCGTGGAATTTTTTATGACATCAGAAGCAACTCACCCGCACTCTAATTGGATTTTCAAGCGGGTCCCGGGTGACTCCTCCGTTATCTCCAATCGAAAGGCAGGTGGAGTCGATGGTAGAGCGGCGATGGTAGCGTGGCAAGGTGAAGGGCAGAGGAATCTTCCGGAAAAGAAAAAGAAGAGAATAAAAAGAAAAAGGCTTGGGAGTGGCTCCTCTTCCTCGTGTTCCTCTTCCGCTTGCTCTCCTCCTCTTAATTCCCTTTTGGTGAAAGAGAAGGGCGGATCGGGTAGGGTTCCGTCGTGGTGTGCAGAATCCCACCCCTTGGAGTGAGTTTGAGGTACAATTTTCTTCTCCCCGTCCTAACCAATAGATTCAAGTCCTTTTCGTCTCGATCTTGAAGGTCTCCCGATCCGAGGGCAGCTGACCGGAGGGTTTCTTGCTTGTTCTGTTCCTTGGCTTGCTCGATCCGATTGGCTCTCTCCCGCTGGGGCCTTTTCGAGCTCGGCCGGCTCGTATTTGGTCCTTTTAGCGGAAGATCTGTTTGTGCTTGTGCTCTTTGAGTGGGATTAGTTGATTTACAAACTGCTGTTCAATCGTTGTCGTTCGTGGGTCGGTGGAGTGAGAAGTGTAGGCATAGAGATGAAGGGTATTGTTGGGATATACGAGCTTCCAGAAGAGGAGGAGCTAAGCGATCAGTATATTCGAAGGAAGGTTTGGATGAACTCGGTATCTATTTTGCTGTCTGATTTGTTGTGGTTGGACTGTCGACAATCAACTTTACACGGTCCTCTCTTCATATATTCTAGAGTTGTCACTAATATTTATTAAGCTACTAATTTAAGATGTTCTTGCCTCCTAAAGAGGTAGTTTTGAAACGAACTAGCCCCTCCATATTTGGAGGATCTTGTTGATATATTGTTTGAGGTGTTAAGATTATGTTGTTTAGATTTTTTGTTTTGTTTTGTTTTGCACATCTGTCATTTCTCTGGTCATTTAATGTTATTACAAGGTCACCGATGTTATTGCAGGTGGTCAGAAAAGGAATGTGATATTTGTGAAAAGCCATTAGCTCTGGATGTCCCATCGGCTATTGTGAAGGCCACTGATCTGAATCTTACTCATCAACGTTTATGTGCTATCGTGATGTATTCCAACAATTTTAACATGACCTAAGATTTGTTGCGTCTAATGTAAAAGAAGCCTGCAGCTTCCTCAATCTATCATCTTTCTGTATGTTGGGCGGTTTTCCTTGATGTCATGTAGGCAACATCAGTTTGGCATCAATTTTGCTGTTGTTTGCAGGAGCATTATATGCTTCTGTTAGATGTGGATATTCTGGTGGATGAAATTTTAGCTTGCATTTCTTGATTAAGGTGCAGAAGTGACTGAAAGTGATTTTTTTTGCCTTCCACACTTACAAAAATAGTGGATGGTTAACACTGAAAGTTCTGTTGTTGCTCTTTCTGCTGAATTTGAATTGAATGAAGTATCTAGCTTGAGTCATCAGCATCTCTAATCAAGTGATTGCTTGTTCTCAAATTGATCTTTGTGAAAAGGTCTTTTCCTAGTTGGAGGCATAACACATTAGTGCCGTTACTACAGAAGCTCTTTCTAAGCAATGGAAACAGCTGGACACGTAGCATCTAATCTTTTCCCTTCTCTTGGTCCTGCACTTATGATATCTATGGGATATATTGACCTTGGAAAGTGGGTGGCAGCTGTGGAGGGCGGGGCCCGATTTGGATATGATCTTGTGTTCTTAGTACTCTTCTTCAATTTAACTGCAATTTTTTGCCAGTACCTTGCGACATGTGTTGGCATGGTCACACAAAAGAATCTTGCCCAGGTACTATTTTGCAATCCTGTTTGCTCCTAGGTTTTTGTGTACTTTTGTTAAAGCCTGTTTATATTTTCCTCAGTTCTTCCTAAATCAATAGCATATCAGTTTTGGTGGTGCTAAGGAAGAACAATTGCCTTCAAGAATAATGCTGAATTGGGAGTCTAATATTAATTTTTCGATTTGTTTCTTCAAGTCCAAAAATTAGAAAAAATGAATAAAATTTGGCACATAAAAAGAAAGATAATCAAAGAGGATGCCAGATTGGAATTCCTCTGAACCATAACTATTCGAGCTGCCCTCACATCCTGAATATATTGCCTAAAATACAAACTCCAAACTGCTAATCTGAACAGTTTTCAAAATCTGAATGTACAACCTAGATTTTATGAGCTTACTATTGTTTTCTCCTTACTCTATGGTGGCAAGGTTAAGTTCTTATTCGTTGACCAGATATGCTAAAATTTGTTGAATTCTTGTGTTGATTGTGCAAAAGATTTGCAGCGAGGAATATTGCAGATCGGCATGCATAGCATTGGGAGTTCAAGCAGCATTATCCATGATTACTTCTGAACTTACTATGGTACTTTTTGTGTTATACTATTTAGACTGTCTCCTTTTCTTTCACTTTTTGTTATTTTGCTTTGATATATCGGTCCAATTTGAAGTTTTCTCACTGTGGATGCTCATGTTGTTTGTTTCAGATACTGGGAATTGCATATGGGATCAATCTTTTAACCAGTGTTGACTTATGGGCGTGCATCTGTTTAGCTGCAGTCGGTGCTGTTTTCCTGCCATTTATCACCTTGTTGGTAAGTTTTGTACTCAATCTTCTTTCCATCAACAGTTTGATGTTGAAGAGACATGAGAGAAACCTAAAGCGTACAAATACTGCTGGAGGTACAGGGGAAAAGGTTGAATGAAGAAATATACATAAGCATAGCAGGGTTTTCTTTGCTATTTTATGTACTTGGTGTACTAATTAGTCAACCAGAAATCCCTCTTGTTATGGATGTGATTTTTCCCAAGCTGAGTGGCGAAAATTCCTACTTGCTTATGGCCCTTCTTGGTTCAAATATAATGGCACATAACTTCTATATCCAATCTTCAATTGTCCAGGTAAAGTTGCTAGAGTATTCTTATTAAATTTTATTTAAAAATGTTTCATTATTTGCATATTTTTATTATAATCTTTATATATACAAAATAGTCCCAAAATGGCCTCTGCAAATGTAGAGAGCAACTTGCAAGTTCTTTTCACTTTGAGTATGAAAGGTACCAAAATTATAAATTATCATTACCAGTGTGCCACTTGATCTTGTATCATTATTCTGCTTGCTACTTTATGGAAATAATCTTAAGCCAACATGAAAAGTGGTAATAACCATCATGTCTAGTTCTCACTGCTCGAGGCTTATTAACTTTTACTGCATTATGAAGGTTATAAAGAAAAAGAATGACCAATAGAGTTTCAAGGTAATAGTAACTATGATTTTTTGGTTTATCATCAAAATTGCATCTGAGTTAGCTGTATTTTTCATATCTACAGTGTAAAAGTAGAAAGGAACCTATAATTCTAAAACTTGAGCCACTTGACATTGTAGGAGAAAACTAATTTCCTCATGTTCTTGCATATGGTCTTTTCAGCATGGCAAAAGATTGTGTTTTAAAAAAAGTTTTCATCAACTTTTCTATCAACGGTCTTGTACTTAAGCAGTATCATTAACTAGAACATGGTATGAAGCAAATATCTAAGTACCTGTCCATATTGAAGGTATTACTTTGATATGGTTGGCTGCTATTGTATTGAACGGGTAAATGCTACTTGGTATAATTAATATGGTTCAATATTTGAACCTTGCTATGAAGTAAAACACATTGTGCAGAAAATCCTATTTCAAGTAACCATAATTAAGTACAGCTTTATTTTGTAGTAATACTTTACATTATCCTTTGAATGACTTTTTCCTACTTGTACTTAAAATGTCTTGAGGGTTCCGTATGTTAATACTAATTTAGTTGTGTTCAGCGGCAGAGGGTACTTCCAAATGCTACAATGGGTGCCTTATTTCATGACCATTTTTTCGCGATCGTGTTCATTTTTACCAGCATCTTTCTGGTGAATTATGTCCTGATCAACTCAGCAGCAGCATTTTTTAACAGTACAGATATTGTGTTCAGTTTTCAAGATGTTTCTTTGCTGATAGACCAGGTTAATATTCTTTCTTACTGTCTGCTTCACGAAATTGAGATCTTCTGCTGTGAATTGTTTTGCTTGTTATAACTCAAGTCTGAATCTTTTGATCCATATTCTATAATTGAGTAGTCCAGAGTTTTCATTAAGTATTTTCACTTATTCACCGACATCCAGATGAATCTTTTCTCTAAGGCTTAACTTTTGATGCAAGATTTTAGTTCACCCAAAACTTGTAACTTTTATTAGTGATTGTAAAATAACATTGTTTCACATCCAATGAAGAATGTCTTCTTTCTTCTAGTTGATTCTATTTGAAGGGCCCTCCTCACTGCCACTTATTTGATTATGAAGAAAAGGCTTTTTATTGAGTTTCTTATCATTCCTTGTGAGGAAGGATGGTTCAGAACTGATCCATGGGGAAGCTTTGGAATGAACTGACTCATGGAAGCTTTGTTCCATTGTGAGGCCCTGGGATAGGATAGAGGACGGGAGCTAAGGCATGTGAGAGGAAAGATGAAACATGGACCAATTGCAGATGCTTCACATGGAGATGACAGAGAAAAGCCATATAGGCCTGTGCTAGGTCATGAAATGCTTAAAATTATGGAAATGACTTTTTAAAAAAACTGTTTAGGAGTGTGCTGCCTAGCAACAGTTAAACATTGATTGATACTGGCAGTTACTGGTCTGTTCAGTTACTGGCAGTTACTGGTACATGGACTAGGTGTACTGGTGGTGGTACCAAGTATACCACTGGTTACACAATAAATATTGGGAGTCCAATATTTGCCCCATACCTAACCTGTATCAACTAGTAAATCTAACCTGGTTCATTTCCAGTCCCACCCATCCAAAATGGGTCTTTTGTTAAAATTTCAGTGAAAGATACATTTCAAACCGTTGTTTGCATTTTCTTCACTTCCTCTTGCACTCCTTTCCTCCTAAGCTTCACATCTCAATTAAGAGAGGAATTTCTTTTCCAAATAAAAGTCGGTGATTTAAAAAACGTTAGGCGCCAAAAGACATCAATGTCCAAAAACGCCCGAGGCGCTAGGCACTCGCCTGAGCGAAGTGAGACGCTAAAATATAAAAATATATAATATAATTAATAAATATAATTATTTAAAATTTTAAATAAAAATATGTTATTAAATTAAGAAAAACTAATAAATACAAATATTGTTACTAGTATACAGTTAACAATATCCTGTATACTGTTAACAGTATACTATCGAAAGAGAATAGAAGAGTGTAAGGGAAGACCGAGGGTGCTGACTGAGAAAAGCGGGAGCGGCAGCGGCGAGCGATGACAGTGGCAGCGGTAGGAACGGGAGCGGGAGCGGCAACAGCGGCAGCAGTAGCGACAGCGGGAGCGGCAAGTGGCGACGGTGGCAACGGTAGCAGCGAGCAGCGGGAGCGGGAGCGACGAGCGGAGACAGTGGCAACGGTAGCAGCGGTAGCGGGAGCAGGGATAGCGGCAGCGGCAGCAAGAGCAGCGACAGTGGCAGCGACAGCGTGAATGGTGAGCGGGGTTAGGGTTGGGGAAGTCGCTTTGATATCGGTGCTTTAGTTGGTTTGATTGAACCAACTAAAGCACCGGAGACCAAACTAGACCTAAAACGCTGGTTCGGCCGCCTGGTTTAACCCAGGCGTTCGCCCGAAGCGCCCGACGCCTGGGCTCGGGCGACCGCCCAGGCGACGCCTCTTTGAAGCGCGCTGCCTGGAAATGAAGCGAGGACCGCCTGAGCGCCTATTGAAATCATTGATAAAAGTTAGTTTGAACTTAATTTTTTCTTGATTTCATCATTAATATATCTTTTGTTACTTCAATTCATTAATGAGAAACTACTGATTCAAGTGAACCAAGGTTGGGTTTGCACATATCTAGCCTAGATTAATTTGGATTAAAGTCTCCACTGAGATTTAGGCAGCTATGCATTTAATAGTTGGATTTGCAAACTAGATCCCTACCAGCATGGATTTCATGGATTATAATGTTGCATAGGTAACTGCTCTGACTGAGGGATCGTATTGCTCACAAATGTAGCATAGTAGTAGTACTACTTATCTATAAAACCTTTTGCCATTTCTCGTGTGTTTTCTTCATCATTTTCAGATCTTGTACATTGACCATGAATATTTAGCTGTTGTTGTACTTGTATTCCTAGCTTGGATAATTATGTTACGTTGTCATGGAAGAACAGAAGTGAGTTTGATCCTGAATTTACATATGATAAATATCTTAAGAAACTGGGTTATTACATGGAGCACAAGATAAAACTGAAAAAAAAAAATCATGCTTAAAAAGATGTAAATCATGCTAGATGACTACATCATTCTGATAGACTCGGTCCTTTTGTTGATAGTGATAGAGCACCCTAGCAAGCACTTCCTGAAGATGTTCCAACCAAGTTGGTACTAGTTTCATCCAAAAGTTTGTTGTCAAATGTCTTGGAGGCCACCATGTATTAGTAAAGATTACAAAGAGAAGATAAACCTACTTTTGCTTACCGGTGGCAACTAGGATTGACATATTAACTATAATGGTTCGACCAAAAACTTCGACAACTCAAAAGTGAACTTCCGTCGGTTATAATTTATGGACCATGTGGAGCTAGTGGATCTAATATTAGATTTTCATTAAGTACTATATAAACTTTCATTTAATGATCTAATGCAACTTCCTCAGAGCCTTGGCCACCAGTATTCTTTTCAGTCTTCACAAGGAACACCAACTAGAGGAAACATTTGTTGCTTTTAACTTGCTAGTTCTTGGATTCTCTGCAATCAGTTGTACAATGCCTAGGAAATACCTCGTTCAGGTGCACAGTGTCTGGGAAATCTCGTGGCCTTTCAGTCTGGAACAAAACCAGTGCTAGCAGGAATCTGGTACTCCAGCAGAAAGTTCAAATTACATATTTACATTTGAATTGTTTGGCCATCCAATAATCACAACTGGGTTGGTACACTGATCCAGTGAGACCTGTATTTTTTGTTTGGTAACGATCAGCTTATCGAATTTCCACACAATCTTGCTTCACTTCCTTGCTCATTGTATGGAAAACTATTACTTAATTGTTTAATTACCTGAGTTATTAAGAATGTGATCTATGTAAGTCATCAGTTCATGTAGTATGCATTTTAAAGCACTTTAAAATTATGCATTTTGTAACATTTGTTTATGATGATGTCTTTTACTTTTTGTATATCTTGTCAGTATAAGTTCGTAAAACAGGTAGATTGAGAAATGCGTAGGGGTCATGAATAGATATCATCTATTGGCAGACTCATAACTTCTGTATATTTATTTGTATTTTTGCAGGTTTTTGGGACTCCTATTGCACCTATCGCAATTTTTCTGGTCCTCCTCTTCTCTAGTCAGATTACTTCTCTAACTTGGAATATTGGAGGGCGACTGATCTTGCAATATCTTTTTGGTGCAAACCTCTCGTCGTGGGTTCATCATTTCTTTGTTAAAGCTCTTTCCGTTGTTCCAGCTCTCTGCTGCGCAACATGTGCAGGTTCTGAAGGGATATATCAGTTGCTTATTTTCTGTCAAATCATACAGGCTATGCTTCTTCCATCTTCCGTGATTCCCCTTTTTAGAGTCGCATCATCAAGATCACTAATGAGAGCCTTTAAAATCTCATGGCATATGGAAATCTTGGCTCTGTTCGCATTTTTTGGAATGCTTGCATCAAATGTCATCTTTATAACAGAAATGTTATTTGGAAATAGTAGTTGGATCAACAACCTTGGAGGAACTATGGGAACCACTGTGAGAGTCCCATATGCTGTTATTCTTCTTCTTGCCTGTACATCAATAGTTTTCATGCTGTATTTGGCAGTTACACCATTGAAATCCGTGAGTGACGGGCCTGAAAATGAAATATGGACCTCGCATACCTGGAAGTATCAGCACGAGTTGTCTGAGGTAAGGGAAGACGACGATCAGGATAAAATTGCATCTGATGAAGATCAAATGTTTCCAGCGGAACCTACCTTGGAGAATTCCACAGAGAGCCATCATGATAAATCAGTTATTGAGGTGAATCTTCTGCAGTCTGGTACAACCATGGATCCTGAAGATGAGCATTATCAATCTCACAATTCCAATGACAATGGTCCTTGCACTTCCCCTGTTTATTCTACTGTGGAACCAATACCCATTAATGAAGTTGATTTGGAAACTGTGGATAAGTTGTCTGCTGGTAATTCATCAGATCCCAGTGTATTAAAAAGAGTTGATCAGATGGAACCAGCTCAAAAAGACTTGGCATTAGAAGGGGATAATTACACAGATAAAGATAGCGAAGGGACTTTGGAGCTTGAGGAGTCTCTCAGGGAACCTATGTCAGCAACAGCAACTGAGGATTCAGGATCTGTTCATTGTGTCAAAGTACAAGGTTTTGATGGTGGTAATGGCAGCGGAAGCTTGTCCAAACTGTCTGGATTAGGTCGTGCAGCTCGACGTCAGTTGGCAGCCATCTTGGATGAATTCTGGGGTTACCTTTTTGATTTTCATGGGAAGCTAACACAAGAAGCCATGGTTAAAAAGTTTGATGTTTTATTGGGAATGGATACAAAAGCAGTTAATTTTTCTGTGAAAATGGATGCAGTAACAGAGTCCTCTAATAGTTTCTTTAAAGATACAGATAGGGCAACGATTTTCCCAGCCAATTCAATTGAATATAACTCTCCTAAGGGAAGGAACTTGTCCAGTTTAGAGTTCCTTTATGGAGCTAAGATGGGAATGACATCTTGGTCTCACGACATGCATCTATCAAATACTCCTTTGCAAAGCTCGTCTAGCAGCCTACTTGAGCCTGTACAAAAGACTTACTCCAGCTTGCACCTGCCTCAGTATTCTGATAATCGGGATTACCAGCCAGCAACAATACACGGGTACCAGATTGCATCTAATTTAAAAGGAATTGGTGCAGGGAGAAGTCCTTATTCCTCATATGCTTCACTGGACCCTCCAACTACTATCAAATCTGCTGTGCCTTTTGTTCCAAGTCTCAGAGATTCAGTCTCGTATGCACATAGGCAGGCTGGACTGAACTCACTTAGAACATCTGGTTTGCACAACCCAACAGTGTCTAGAGCAAGCGGAGTGCAAATAGAAGCCCCTTATTATGATCACGGCTTTGTTGAATCTATAGAGAGTGTTGACTCTTCTTCCTATGCAAAGAAATACCATAGCTCTCCAGACATTTCTGCACTTATTGCTGCTAGCAGGAATGCCTTGATGAATGAGATGAAGTGGGGCGAACCTATTGGTCCCAAGCCATTCTTGGGTCGGATGACATCTGGACAGTCACAATTTAACCCTTTATCCAAGACTGGATTTCCTTTGGCATTTGATGAAATTTCTCCACCCAAACTCCATGAGGATGTCTTTTCTCTTCAGTCAAACTTGAACCAAAGTGCTAAGTCTCTTTGGTCCAGACAACCATTCGAACAATTATTCGGTGTGATGAATAGAGAGCAGAGTAGGGGGGATGAATCACTTAATGACAGAACGAGAATTGCTTCTAGAGAAACTCTTTCGTATTCAGAGTTGGAAGCTAAGTTACTCCAAGCTCTCCAATTTTGTATTGTGAAGCTCCTGAACTTGGAGGGATCAGACTGGCTGTTTAGACAAAATGGTGGCTGTGACGAGGAACTTGTTAATCGAGTGGTTTTGAATGTGAAAACATTGCGAGAATCCGGAACTCATGAAATTAATCAGTTGTACTCCAGTGAGATTCAGTACTTGTCTTCAGTTCGAAAGCCTATTTTGGTCCAGAAAAACGAGGATGCAGATTCTGCTTTTCCTTTGTCATTGCCTAATTGTGGTGAGAGTTGTATATGGCGTGCATCCCTGGTTGTGAGTTTTGGAGTTTGGTGTGTTCGGCGCATCTTGGAGCTGTCGCTTGTGGAGAGTCGGCCAGAGCTTTGGGGAAAATACACTTATGTTCTCAACCGCCTTCAGGTAAAACTACCCCAGGACATTAATTAGAAAGTCTCTATTGTTTGACTGACAGGAAAGAAACTGTAATTAAATAATTGGTCTGAACAGTAACAAAAATACAAGATAATAGTGTTTGCTGCTAATTAATTCAAACAAATAATTATTCCAATCATTGATGTCCTTCGTAAGCACTTTGCTTCCTGGCACAATATGCAGTGGCTGGTAATACAAGTGAGCGGTCCCCTCTTGTATCGAACCCAGTAAGATTTTTTTTTTTTGACTAAATTCATTTATTCAGTTAAGATGTCACCCTAGAGGAAATGGCAAATTGAACATCAATGAGTAACACCTAAATTGAAGTAAGTTGCTACTATTGGCGTGTCATTGGATTAACTTTATCTTGTAGATGGACATAGATATTGTTAGCAATTACCAATTAGCGTGTGCATGCCCACACACATAAGAAGGTAAACGTATTTCCACGATATGCAGATTCAAGAAAAATTCTCACTCAGTTTCAAACTTGGAAGGTAAAAAAGGTATGACTTGCTTAAATCTCTCTCTGGATGAGACTGCCACTCTTTTATGTATGCCACCCTATGCCTGCTGGAACTAGCTAAAATTGGCCTAGGTATAGTAAAAAATGCCTGGAACTGGCACAACACAGCTCAACATGGCACTCCCTGTTCCAGCTGAAACTTGAATCCTTAGTTATGAGGTCATCATATGGGCTCCACTTGGTTCACTTATTAGTTCCAATTATATCTTTTACCAAGCCATTCTATGATCGCTTTCTCGGTCTGCAACATTTCTTATTTTACCTCTTGCATCTTCATGTGCACTCAATTGTCTTTTGTGTAAATTAAGTCAATATTTTCCTTATTTGCATTTAAAAGACCAACCTTGGAGTGTTTGTCAGCTGTGAACTTTCATAGCTGTAAAAACAATCAATGTCATTCATAGTATCCTTAGTAAATCATCATCGGTCATAGGAGCACACTGTTGTTTTCCCACCATTATTCTCTTTGACAAGGCCCTGCACATTGAGTATCTTGTCTCATTTAATACAGGGAATTCTTGATCTTGCATTCCTGAAGCCCCGGCGTCCCCTTGCCAACTGTTTATGTTTTGAAGAACAACTAAAAGATATGAAGACTTTCAACTTCTCATTGCCAAATATATCATACAAAATTGGAAAACCAATCAAGGGATCCTTTACGACAGCAAATATGATTCTCGATATCATTAAAGATGTTGAAATTGCAGTTGCTGGTCGCAAGGGCCGGACGGGCACTGCAGCAGGGGATATTGCATTTCCGAAAGGGAAAGAAAACTTGGCTTCGGTGTTGAAGCGATACAAGCGTCGGCTCTCAAACAAGTTTCCTGGAGCCCATGAAGGTACTTCAGCTCGCAAGACCCCTGCAAATTCCTTGGTTTTATAGCATGCAAGGAAAGATGCTGTTAGAAATTTAGGAGTCATGAGTTTTTTCGTTGAAAAACGTTTTAGGTTTCAGAGTTTGTTGGGTTTTTCCCTTCCAGGTTTCCCATTCCATATATTTGTATAAGAATTACAAGCATATTAAGTGGAGAAGAAAAGGGCAAACAGAAATATGGATGCTTCTTTGTTTTACCAACATTTTTTCACAAGCAATTTCGGATCTTCCTTAGAAATTAATAGATTTGTTTCCTTCTACTTGTATCAAACATAACATTCCTGCAGTTACTGCTGAAGAAATCAGAGCCTTTAATTCAAAGTTTGCAGTATAAAAGGTGATGAAATTCATATCAAATTTGTGCCATCAAATCCCTTTTGACTCTTTTTCTTGTTGCAAATCCTTATAATAAATATTTGCTAAGCAACAGATTGGGAAAATGAGCTATGATTTTTCTGCTGTTGTTAAAAGACTAGCAAACTTCTGTGAGGTTCATTTTTCTAGGTTTTCTTCTTCTCTGAATTTGTCTTGTAATTCATGTGGATTTGTGAATATCTCTTGTTTATGCATGCAATTGCCTTGTCTTTTTCTCTCTTTTTTGGGCTGCTCTCTGTCTTCTCCACCCTTGTTGCTTCCTCTCTTTCTTCTATTCAGCTTCATATTTCAAATCGTGTTTATTATTAGTGTCTAAGCAATATTTATCCTGCAACTCAGTCTCCTACTTATTCTGCTGATAAACTTGTAAATGTACTACTCATCACTGAATGTAACACAGAGTGATCGACCTGATTTTGTGGAAAGAGGGAGTGGGCATAAAAACCATGAGCAGTAGTCAATAATGTTTAAGGCGTTTGTGTTTTCTTATGAAACAATCAAAACACCAATCATCTGTGTGATAAAGTTTGCAATGCATTGTGTTGCTTTCTGAATGTAACTTGATGAGCATGCCACCTATTTGTTCTGGCAAGTTCATGAGTTTGGCGGTATCCCTTTTCACTGATGCTTGACAATGTGCAGTGAATCAATCATCTACATGCACTTTTGCTGTCCCCCATCAAATAGTTCGATGAACATTCATTAATTCATTCATCTTGAATAGTTTGTGCTTACCAAGTCCCTGATTCCTCATTCGCATTATTGTGTTTCATTTTATCATCATTCCGTGGCACATTAATTCTAGAAAATTAAAACATATTCATTGATTGAAAAGGACGACACATTTGGGGGCCCACGGAACGAAGGCCTGTTGTTGTATGGAGCACATTTGGGCCTCGGCAACGATCCACGCCTACGAAGGCCCACTAAGCCCTGTCCGTAATCGATCGATCACCGTCTATTTTAACGAATGCACGAGATGTAAAGCGCCGCTCAAACCCTAAACGCACACGAACGGACGGGTGGGATCATACCCGCTCCATCTCGACGGCCAAGGCTTCCCTAAGCACGCACCGCCCTCCCCTTATAAGCGGACGGGCGCTCACCCCTGCCGAGGGCCGCAGAGGAGTTTCTCCCGTGCCATGGGTCAGTCCTCTCTCTCTCTCTCTCGTTGATATATGTGGCATGTTGTTGATCTCATTTTTCTTTTGATGGGGTTTCAGGGGCGTACAAGTACGTGTCTGAGCTATGGAGGAAGAAGCAGTCGGACGTTATGCGGTTCCTACAGCGGGTGAGGTGCTGGGAATACCGCCAGCTTCCCTCGATCGTGCGCGTCACGAGGCCGACGCGACCCGACAGGGCTCGGCGCCTTGGTTACAAGGCCAAACAGGTAGATTGACGTTCGATCTGACCCATGATTTTGTTCTTCCCTGAATCATATCGATGCCATCTTCACGTGTCGTCGTTGGATTTTTCATGATTTTGTGGGTAATATAGCGTTCTTGAACATTTTTCTCGCTAGTATACTTTTGGCTAGTTTGATTATTGCACGAATTTGTATGGATTATTGCTCTTGTCATCTATTTATGATTTTGAATGTGTCGTTAGGTTTATGTTGGTTAAATCGATGAAGGGTAATCTGTTCCTCTATCTGCTTAATCTTCTTTCGTGTTTTTCACACACGAGGAATTTAAGACGAGAGATGAAGCTGTAGCTTCATTGGCCTGATAAGACGAGATGAGATCTCTGTTTGATTTAACCCATAGTTACTAGAAAAAATTTTCCTTTGGAGTAAGCATGACAAGTAACTCGGATTCATGTACCGGACCTGTTTCAGTCGCTGACCAGACCGGTTAGTACCTGTCGGTGCTAGTGTACTGACATACCGTACATAAGATAGCGGACGATTCTCTCATCGGACCCTGCTTGCTTGAAAGGGATGCCCGGGAAAAACGCAGCCAAGCAAGAAAGAGTGGACATGTATTAGTGTCTCAAGGAAGAAGAAGAAGAGGATTGGTGGTGGAGGAAGAGGAGGGAGGAGGAGAAAGGAGTAAGGAGTGGTAGAGGAAGGAGGAAGGAAGAAGAAGCGAGAAGAGGAGGCAGGATGGAGGAGGATGAGAAGAAATCCTACTGGAAGGTAGGGGGTGGCAAACGACAGCAGCTCAGAACCGACTCTGCACTCCTTGCGGACAGGGAAGACTTTTAAGTTTTTTTTTCTTTCAAATGGGTCGGATCGGACCAGTCGAAAAGGATGATATGTCGACCAGTATGTACTGTCCATTTCATACTGGTCCGGGTGAAATGGAGAAGCATGAAAAACATCCTTGCTTTGTGATGACCATGTTGTCTATCATAGCTCTTTGCATTTGCTGGAGCACCAAGCTTTGATAAGTTGTTCCCAGATTTAATTCTTAAAAATGAGACAACAGTCTTTATCTCCATGTCATTGAAAAAGGGTGTTGATTATTATTTTCTAAATAATTTGCTTTATAATTTTGGTTGAGGATGAAACTTTATTTGGATATCTTAAGTGGTAATCAAGGGTCCCCATTTTTTCAATAACTACTGAATCTCCTAAAGATGTATACATTAATTCTTAGATAAAGCATCTGCTGCATCTGTGAATATAAATGTGCATGTGACATTAATCTATTCTGTACATATCCATTCCTGAGCTTTTTGGAATAATTTTTTTTCTCCAACAAAGATGTGAGCTAGGGATAGTTTGTCGTTGTAGATATGCTTAGAAAACAGTGCTAGAGCATCTCAGTTAGAATTCATGTGGTGGCATCCTATTAAACCTCTACTGGTAGGCACAATGTACATAGACTATGAAGTCGAAGTAGTGACTTTGATTTGAGCAGTTTATTGGTAAATGAGATATTATGATGTTCTGATTATTCTCGTTCTTTTCTGGGTGAATTAGCAAGAAATAGACCCAGTGAAACAATCTTGTTATCAGTCATGACATTATGAGGAACATATTATGTACTCCCAGAACTCCTCTGTCCTAGACAACTTGCAACTTGAAATTTCTTTTCATGTCTTTGGCGATTAATCATGATGGTATCATCATATAGGCCTGATCGAAGATAAATATTGAATTTATTGTTGTTACAGACACTACTACTTGTCTGTAAGAGGGTGGCTTTGTTGGACAATTAGGGTGGTTGTTGGAGTGGCTGGTTCATCACACAAAGGAGAAAAGTAGGCACCTAATGGCTGTTAATTTTATCTTTGATTGTTCCAGCGATGTCTATGTGCACAGGTTGCAGCCTCCCTGTTCAATGAACATAATGTAATCTTGTAGTGGACATTATGTGTTGGCAGCTTTGGCCTACATGCATGTATGTATTTGAGGGGTTCTCCATAATTTAAAGGTCCTTTTTCAAACATCTGACACAAGTTTGTGTTTTATAATGAAGATGATCCAAGGTTCTCATGCTTGTCTTCTTTCAATCACAACGTCACATAAATTGACTTCTTTCTTCCCTCTTTAACTGCTGTAATAGGAATTTCCCTCCTGTGTGCCGTGTTAGTTTTGGTCTGACTCCCTAGTGATGCAATATGAACTATACTAATTATTTGTATCTTGTAATTGACCTGTGACCTAATGAAGTTATATCAAGTTGTCTCGCCACATGTTAAGCATTGCCATGTGCTTTGGGTACCGACCACATTTAGAAAAAAATCTTCCCTGTATGCAATCATGTTGGCATTTGACACTTATTTGCCATGACTTGTGGTTCTCAATTCATGTATAACTTAATCAGTTGTCAATGGCATTCACTGGGTAGCATTGCAAATTTGTGTTTATGCTATACCCTTGCTTATGGTGTTATGTGCTTACCATGCAGGGTTATGTGATTTATCGCGTTCGTGTTAGACGTGGTGGCAGGAAGAGACCAGTTCCCAAGGGCATTGTTTATGGGAAGCCCAAACATCAAGGTATCACTCAGCTTAAGTTCCAAAGAAACAAGCGATCAGTTGCAGAGGAGAGAGCTGGTCGCAAGCTGGGAGGCCTCAGGGTGCTAAACTCTTACTGGGTTAACGAGGTCAGCCGACATGCCTTGTTGGATTATCCTTTATATTATAGTTTTATGCTTTGTCAAAGTCTTCTCAAATAAAACTGTCTTCCATGTCATGTTACACAGGATTCAACATACAAATATTACGAGATCATCCTTCTTGATCCATCCCACAGTGCCATTCGCAACGACCCTAGAATCAACTGGATCTGCAAGGGCGTTCACAAGCACCGTGAGCTTCGCGGGCTAACATCGGCTGGCAAGAAGTACCGTGGTCTTCGCGGTAAAGGCCACCTTCATCACAAGGCTAGGCCATCTCGTAGGGCAACCTGGAAGAGAAACCAGACCTTGTCTCTTCGCCGATATCGATAGGATCCCTTGCTCAGCTGATTTGTTCTGGAACTTAATTCATTTTGAACTCCATAAAATTGGTCATCTTTTTGTCAAGCTTGCCCGAACTTGCTTGTTGACGCTGAAACTTTGCATCTAATCTCATTATAGCTCTATATATTTGTCTTTGCAGTACGTCTGTTTGTCTCATCAAGGCTCCTGGAATAGCGAAGTGCTTTGCTATATCTTATTCTATATATTGTTGTTTTGTTTGAGATCGTTCAATTTTATATTCTTGAAAAATAATTTTTTATAGCACATTATTTTGCTAAAAACTTCCATTGGAAGAAATCTAAGCATGCGAAAAAATAAATAAATGACACTCAGGAAAAAAAATCTAATTATACCAAAGTGATAACTACATCAACATTGAGAGCACCTGTATACAATGTATTCGACTTGGCATTGTTTGCAGTTGTAGAGTTACGCCCCTTTCCCCTCTCCCCCCCCCCCCCCCCCCCAAATCGCAACCTTCCATCTACAATCCAACGCCCCTAATCCTTCCATCGGCAACCTTTCATCTACAATCCAACGCCCCTAATTGGATGTAGTTAGACCATTTTTTTAGTATTTCGGTTGTTAGACTTAAAAGAATTTATATTTGAAATCTTTGTAGTTATAAAAGTAAACTAGCTAATTCTATTTATCCTAACATCGTCGATTTTATTAACAAAAACACAAAAATGATGAGTAAAATAGTAATTTCAATGTTTCAATTACGTTTTCGATGATAATAAATGACAACATCGTTGGGGGCCATAGGTGACTGTTGTGGATGAGAAGGAAGAATAACGACAAGAGATAATACAAAGAGAGAAGAGAAAGAGGACAACGTAGATGCCAACGCTTTGCATATATGTCGACATCACACGACATCTATGTTAGCACCGACATAGATGTAGAGCATCTACATCGACACTGACATAGATGCAGAACGGTATCGCTCTACATCTACATCTACTCGACGAAAGAGTTGTTCGATATCTGTATAAGCACCGACACATATGTATAGCATTTATGTCATCCTCTTCTTTATTATCTCCTTTTGTCTTATCTCACGTCATCGCTCTTCCTCCATATTCGCAACAGTCACCCAGGGTCCTTATTTGTGTTGTTGTCCGTCACTATCGAAAATGTAACTAGGACATTGAAATTATCTTTTTGTTTATTATTTTTGTACTTCCATCGATAAATCGATGATGTTAGGATAAATAAAATTAGATGATTTATAATCATAAAAATTTTAATATAAAGTAAACCTTTTTAATATCTCGATTTTTAGACTTAAAAAATTTACATTTGAATCTCTGTAATTATAAGTGAAGTAGTTAATTTCATTTACCTTAACATCATCGATTTTATCAACGAAAGCACAAAAATGATAAGTATCTCAATTACGTTTTTTATGGTGACAGACGATGATGTTATTAGGGGCCATAGATGATTATTGTGGATGAGAAGATAGAGTAACGATGAGAGGTAATACGAAGGGGGAAGAGAAAGAGGATAACTTAGATACTAACGCTTTGCATATATATTAGCGTCACATGATAACTACGTTAGCATCGACGTAGATGCAAAGTATCTACATCGACACCAACACATGTAGAGCGGTGTCGCTCTGCATCTGCATTTGCATTTGCTCGGCGAAAGGGTTGTTTGGTATTTGTATCAGCACAGACACAGATACGGAGCATCGACATCTGCATCGTCCTCTTCTTTTGTTTCATCTCTCGTCATCGCTCTTACTTCATATTCACAACAATCATCCACAACCTTTATTTGGATCGTTGTCTGTCATTGAGATGTTGACAAAAACGTAATTGAGATGTTGAAATTATCTTTTTATTTATTATTTTCATTCTTCCATCGATAAATCGATGATGTTAGGATAAATAAAATTAGATGATTTATAATCATAAAAAAATTAATATAAATATTTTAAATCTACGATCGATATGTTAAAAAGATGTGTGACTACATGCGTAATTAACATGTAATTACTCGGATAAAGTGCCGAGGCGGGGAACGTAAACGCCCCTAATTCGATCGCGGCGAACCGAGGCATCGGCTTCGAGAGCCTTCCTGTCCTCCGCCCTTTCGGCTATTTACGTTTCCCGCCTCGGCGCTTTATCCCTCTCTCGAGCTACCCGCCTCTGTTAGGGTTCTTGTGACCGTCTCCTCCTCCTCTCGATCGAGGAGTTCGGCAGTCCGATTCGGGAGAGATTTACTGGGGCTTCGCCGGCAGGATGTTCGGTCGGGCGCCGAAGACGAGTGACAGCACGCGGTACTATGAGATCCTCGGGGTGTCGAAGAACGCTTCCCAGGATGACCTCAAGAAGGCCTACCGCAAGGCCGCCATCAAGAACCACCCCGATAAGGGCGGCGACCCCGAAAAGGTATCTTGTCGGTGTCCTGCTTTTACGTTTGATTTATGGTCGAGCAGGTTGGATCATTCATTGTTTTTTTATCGAGAATTCATTTTGGAAATGCTGTTTCTTTGGTCACAGCTTTAGCGGGTTTGGAGTGTGTTCTACTTGTATAAACAAATGTTCCAACTTCATCATGCCAATGCTCCTAGCCTCTAATTCAAGATTGTAGATCTTATGTGCCACATTTGTAGTGTTCGTTAGTATTTCGTCGACTGTTGTTTGACTTGGATCTAATTCGGCAAGTGTATTGTAAATGGCTTACGGATTTGAAGATCGAGTGAATAGCTCTCTCTTTTTACAATGATAATGTGAATTTGGGAAAAGAACATTTGGACATGTCTTTATCATAAGCTGCCTCGTTTTGTTTGGATGATTTGTGGCGGAATGGGTAGGTCTTGAATCATGAAATATTTCTCTTTTCCGGGGGTTGGGGATAACAAAGATATGTTGGCTGCCTTCTTCAGTTCAAGGAATTGGCCCAGGCTTACGAGGTTCTAAGCGACCCTGAAAAGCGTGAAATCTATGACCAGTATGGTGAGGATGCCCTCAAGGAGGGAATGCGTGGTGGTGGAGGTGGCCACAACCCTTTTGATATCTTCGAGTCCTTTTTCGGTGGAAGTCCCTTCGGAGGTGAGCTTCTGACCACCAGTATGTTTGTTCTCCACCTGTTATTACCATATGCCAATCATTGATTGGTCGTGTGAATACTAATTGTCGCTTGTTCCGGACAGTAGGTGGAAGCAGCCGGGGACGAAGGCAGAGGAGAGGGGAGGATGCAATCCATCCTCTTAAGGTGTCTTTGGAAGACTTGTACAGTGGGATCTCCAAGAAACTCTCGCTTTCACAGAAAGTCATCTGCCAAAAGTGCAAGGGGTGAGTTGTTTGCTTCTCTTCGCTGTTATGGTGAATGCTTCTAAAATTATTAGACCCTTTTCCAGGAAGGGTTCTAAGTCTGGCGCTTCGATGAGTTGCTCTGGCTGTGAAGGATCGGGTATGAAGGTCACGATTCGTCAGTTAGGGCCTGGAATGATCCAGCAAATGCAACACCCTTGCAGTGAGTGCAAGGGCACTGGGGAGACCATTAACGAGAAGGATCGGTGTCCACAATGTAAAGGTGAGAAGGTTATTCAGGAGAAGAAAGTGCTGGAGGTTGTGGTTGAGAAAGGAATGCAGAACGAGCAGAAGATTACCTTCCCCGGAGAGGCAGACGAGGCGGTATGATGTTTAAAGCATTAGTTCATATGAACTCGATGTGTACTTGCACATAATATTCTTGTTGTTAATGATATGTTCTAACCCACAACACATGCTCATGGGTGTTGCAGCCTGAAACTGTTACTGGAGATATTGTGTTTGTCCTTCAACAGAAGGATCACCCAAAGTTTAAGAGAAAGGGAGATGATCTTTACTATGAGCACACGTTATCCCTCACCGAAGCTCTCTGTAGCTTCCAATTTGTCTTGACCCACTTAGATAACAGGCAACTACTTATCAAGTCGAACCCTGGTGAAGTTGTGAAGCCCGGTACGCGTTGCAAACTACCCTTTTGCCGACTGGGTTTTGTAGGGCATTGTACTTGATGACCTTGCTACTGATACAGATCAATTCAAGGCGATAAATGACGAGGGCATGCCGATGTACCAGAGGCCCTTCATGAGGGGGAAGCTCTACATCCACTTCACAGTGGACTTCCCGGACTTGCTGACGCTGGACCAGTGCAAAGCGCTGGAGGCTGCGCTTCCTCCAAAGCCTGCATCACAGATGACGGACATGGAACTGGATGAGTGCGAGGAAACAACATTATATGATGTCAACATCGAGGAAGAGATGCGGAGGAAGCAAGCTCAGGCCCAAGAGGCTTACGAGGAAGAGGATGATGTCTCCGGACGAGCCCAGAGATTGCAATGTGCTCAGCAATAAGCAGAACTACAGCTTTCCTAATCGGTTGACTCTCCTCTGGTTGTTTTGCTGGTTGTTTGCTGATGAAGTACAACTACGAATCATCTTCACCATGGTAACCTCATGGCAAAAATATTTGTGTTTTGCAGTTCCAGACCATTAGTGGCTTAATGTTTCGTTATTGCCCCTCGCTTTCTATGGTTTTGATGTGCATTTTTATGTTGTCCTAAACTTCTTCGAGTTTTTGCGCTCTATTTTTACATTATTTGTTTCCGTGGTTTTTCTATGGATCTATCAATGAAAAATTAAAGATTTGTTGGACAAGTGATAGGTCTCGGTTTGAGTTGAGTTGATTTGTTAACATTATACGTTACTTAATATGATAAAAATATATATTTTTTTAAAACTGATGGGGAATTATACAATCATGAAAGTCAACTTTTGACTTTCGTTACTTGTGGTCAAAATTTGATGGTCAATCGTTACTTGCAGTAGCACACAGCAAATTTGGTTCTTATTTTTTTTATTTTTCTAATCGTTCAATTTAATTGATGGTCAATCATTCTTTAGGGACAATTAATTATATATTTTAATGATTTATGTGCATATCATGTAATATTTGAATGACCGAATAAAATTAAATAAATACATTATTAATTAAGCAAGCTTCTGATGCAAACACGCACACAAGATGTGCGTCCCAAACAATCGGTTCGATTTAATTGGGTTTATCGTCCTATTAACTCTGTCGACACATAGAAATTATAGGATTAATTATAGATTAATTCTTGTAGGTAGTTTATCTTTAGCATTTTGTTCGATCTTGGTGACGACGTCGACGTAGTTGCGTGGTTGCCTATGACGCTTTTATTGTGACGCCACTCGCCTCCACGAGGAGTGCGTCGTCGATCTTATCGTAGCTCGCCTCATTTTGTATCTGCGTAGACACCAACGTAGTTCTCGAGCGGCAACTACATCAGCGTTGACATCGACGCTAATGTAGTTGTCGCTCGATAATTGTGTCGACGTCGACATAAATGGTGGTAGCCATCGCGATGTCTATTGTGAAGATTGGTTGCCTTGCCACTGACCCGTTGGGCGAATCCTAGCCTCAACTCGAAGCTAGGGTCGCTAGATCTTTTGTCGCTCCCCTACTATCGCATAGTTTCGGCATCATCTCTCATTGAGCGACACTTTCCCCACTCTACATCTAAGCCGGCGTCGATGTAGTTGCCAAGCAGCGAAAGAGTTGCTTGACATCTATGTCGGTGCCAATGTAGATGCAGTGCCCTCTCCAAGCTCGTGGAGATGCTTCTTGTCTCCCCCGGTTGTTGCCCAGTGGCATCTACCACCACTCGTCTCTTCAACACCGGCACCCTTTGAGACTAGGATGATGACAACTGTGACATTGACCTCGAGAGACGCCTCGACTCCCCCATCGTTGCTCACTATTATCATGCTAACTCATTCCCCTCTCTCTAAGGTAGTTGTCATCTCATTCCATGTTAACTTTGTTCTCCCTCTCGAACCCCTTGCGCTCTCCCTACCGTCGAGTTGCTAAATCGAGGTTTTTGTGTGATGTAGAGGTGTTCGATCCATTCAACCTGACACGAATCATGAGTCAGGTTTTGCATCGACACCGATGCAAATGCAAAACGACACCACTATGTATCTGCATCGACGCTAATGCCAAGCGGCAAAAGGGCTGCTCGACGAGAGATGGTGTCAAAATTGACGTGACAGCGGGGGGAGCCACCCCAGCTTCGAGTCAAAGTTGGGATCCACCCGAGTCAACGACAAGGAAGCCACCATCTTCACCATAGACATCACAATGGTCACCGCCATATGCGTCGATGTTGACGTAGTTGCTAAGCGACAACTACGTCAACGTCAACGCAAATATAGAGCAACATGAGGTGGGCGATGATGAGGTCAACGACACATTGAGAGTGGACCTTATCGTCGTCAAAGGCGCCTAGGCAACTACATTGGTGTCGATGCCAACGACGTCATCCACCATTAAACGTTAAAATTAACTTTGTTCTTTGTTTTCATATTTTTATCAATAAAACTAATATTGTTATGATAAATGGATCTAAATATTTCACTTTCGTATATATAAGAATGACAATACAACTTTTAAAATATAAAGATTGTAATGGTAAAGATAACTAACTGCAAAGGATACTATGCAATTAATTCAGAATTACATAATAATGGAACTGAAGCCACACAAATCTATCCCAAGTAGAACTCGTTGCATGAAGAAAAGCAATTGTCACAAAGGATCTCAAATTTAGCCCATCGAGCATGCAAATACCTGCAATTTCTTGATGCAGCAACAAACCACTTGTTATGTCATTGAAATGAGTTATTATGTTAAAAGACCGTAACAGAACCTGTTCAAATGTTACATACTAACGATGACAAAGGGTAAAGCTTGCAGTTAGGACATACAGGATGTGAGGATATGGTTACAATACTTAATTTAAGACCCACAAGTTCAAACTACAAAGTACAACACGGATAACTGAGACCACTTAATTATTTCAACAGTTCACAGGAGATGCCTTGGGCAGATGCTGACCATCACCGCAGTTCGCTGGAGGAACTTCCTTGGTGACTACAGCATCGTCAGGATTCTCCTCGTCGATGCTATTCCCTTGTACAACCTCTCTCTCATGGCCTTCTTTCCCAGTCGATGCTTCTTCAGGGTCGCCTGATGAAGGCAATACCTTGGTGTCAGCTGGTTTGTCTGAAATGACAGCATCAACTCCGGTTGCTGTTTCAGTGCCATCGTTCTTTGAGCTAGCCTCTGTTTTCTCTTCGACACTTCCGTTGGATTTGACGATGGAGTCTTGCTCACCTGCTGCATCCTCGTTTGCTGCTTCCGTAGCCGTGTTCCCATCTTTGACCTTGTTTGCATCATCAGCCTCTTTCATTTGGACATCAGCAAACACTTCAGTTTCTTCGACAGTGACATCCTCCTTTGCGCCGGGAGTTCCATCCACTACATCGCTGTCATCTTTCTTCTGTTTTGCAGCTTTCTTGGAACTTGATGATTTCCTTTCTCTCTTTTTCGGCTTCTCATCTTCTGAGGTCTCTATTGCCTTGGCTCTCTCCCTAATTCTCGCTGAACGCCTCGGGGTGTCACCTGCATACGAGTCATTTGAGGAAGCAAACAATACATTGATTCATGCATCCAGTATTCAAATATCTGAGTTCTACACAACTGCAAATCTCTACTTGCTTAGCAAACAAACGGAGGGTAGGGAGGATACCGGTTCCCCAGTCAAACTCAGATGAAGGGGGGCCTCCAGGGTGAGACTTCAAGTACTGCTGTAACTGTCTCTTACTCTTGATCTCCTCACCAGTTGGTGATACAAAAACAATCTCATTCCTTCTTGGAGTTCCATCCTCATTCAGCATGAACTGTTAGTGCCAAAAAAAAATATATCATGGCTGCGATAAAGAAAGAGCAGGTAACAAGTGCACCAAGATCGAGATTGTTGATATACATTAATGCTGAAGGGATGAAAGGCAATCTAAAACTTAAACCATAAAAGAAGATGGGGAGAAGAATGTCCACTGCAGATCAGGTCTTTCATTGCACAAGGAAAAACATTCCCAAATAGTACAGTGGTGCAAACTCTTTGCGAGAAGTCATAACAATTCTAAAAAAAATCTTACCATCATGTTTACTTAAAAATAAATGGTTATCAATAGACAATTCTAAGGAACCTTCAAGCCTTTTAAGCACCAACTGGTACTAGCACTTTAGAACGAACATTTCGGGGTGTGTCTGAAAATATTTGAAATAGACGAACTATTCTAGTGTTTAGTTGAACACTGATGGAGCTACTGTTCCAAAGGAAAACAGAGCTTATTTTTCAGTTGAAAAAAAATGTAGTCAGAGTAATTTATAGACTTACCGAACAAGAAAAGGGAAAGATGAATGTACTATGTTATGGCATGAAGCATTAGCATAATGCCCGAGTAAGAAACAGAAAAAAAGGCTCCTGTCTTTCTTTTACTAAAGATGCTAATCCACTACTATAATTTTTTATAATTGCATGAACTCCTAACAGGTCCAAGAAAAGCCAAGACGCAGCTGGGTACTACCATCAACATGAAAGAAGCCCGGCATAACATTCCTTTTAACAATATGAGAATTAGTATAGCATATCTAGAACATTCAATTTTAATAATCCACAGAGAACACTATATACAAAACTAGCTTTCCAGTCTAATAAAAGAAGGGAAGAGGAAAAGGTATTGGTAAACTATGCACGGTCTGTCCGGTAGTGGGCGGTCCGCGTACCGGTATGCCGTCGGACCGGTACGTACCGCCCGTACTGGGCGATACCATTTGAAATTGCATACCATGCATAAAATAACCTTGCAATAACTATTTCACAAGAACATTTAGCTGTTTTCCTTATTTTTCAAAATATTCCATTTAAAACAATATCAACCGAATTGTTTATCCTTACAAGAATATTTCCAGCACAAGTATAATTTGAGAAAATATTGAACAAAACAAAGATGCAAGAACAGCATCCCTTGGATAAACATATTAGGAGAATGGGAGAGAGATACCAGGCAGTTAGCTCAATGATGGATGACAGAAGAACACTGTTGTATGGAAAAGGAGCAGAAAAGAAAACAATGATAAGTTCTTATGTATTTAAAGAAGATCAATAAATTTGCGCATGATTCCTAGCAGGAATAGCTGGCAAACAAGAAACATTAAGCTCTTATCAGAGAAAACATTACACAAGCAACCACCAATTCAGTAAGCATTAGAAAGGGAAATACAGCAACCATATTAGTCAGCTTCTTGTGAACAATATCTACAATTCCACAAGTTACAAAAAGGTGTGTTTTCCTTTTCTGAAAATGGTACAGTACATAATAGCCACTATTAGACACATTTTGCATAAGCAGATAAAGACATTAGCTCAAAGTCTACCACAACATGCCTTCAGAATTGTGAATGCATCAGCTACAAATAAACACGAGGCTACTTTCTTTAACACTAAATAGTGTGTGTGATATGCAGGGGTTTCTGTTCAATGGGCACATAGAATTTTTTTTTTTGTTTATTAAAAAGAACCCCGTATTGCAGGCCTACCATTCACCCTTTTTCTGGACACTTCCCATTTCTATTAAAGAAAAGCTTCCTGTAGCAAACCTAGCATTTCCCCCATTTTCTAGACACTTCCCAATTTAAAGGGAAGTTTGAAGAGTTGTTCCATGGTTGCATCAATTTCAATCTTTATCAAAATTGCAATCTTTCAAATAAACAACTAGTTGCTTAGGTTTTGACTATGAGCCTTCTTGCCTAATCATGCTAAGGACAAGAACATCGAGCTAGAGATATTTAAGGCTCCATAACGTTTGACCAAGAGAGAAAACTAAGCATGTATCAATCTGCCATAAGGAATCAACAGGTACTAAAAGGCAACTCACTAAGCATCAAAGAAACAACAGGTAACAATTTTTTCATTGGAATCTCAAGCTGAAGATAAGTGTACAATCACATTATGGCAATACTATGATGAACTAAATGCCATCCACCCACAAAAATACATTTGTCTATGAAACAACACAAACTAATTTTTCTAGGACATCTACCACAACATGAAATTGTAAAACAACAGAATCTTGTATAAGACTTGTTTAATTGTCACAAGTTCCATTCTTTGAAGGTACAGATCAGGCAGAATATGATTGCGTAGAAAGAAACAGGAAGTTGTTTGATGCAATGTCGAACAAGAAACCTTAGCAACCTAATGGTACTTTGTAGAGTAAATTTAAAAGAAATAGTCAAAATCCAAAAGAAATTTATTTTAGCCTGGTCACCTAATGGTACTTTGTAGAGTAAATCTCTATAGTCTACATTTGATGAATAAGCATCCAGTTCTGGAGTAAGAAGACGAAAAATAGATAAAGGTATAACTAAGTCAACTTCATTCTTTTTTTATAAATTTGAAGTGATTGCTGAAAAAAAATGAGAAACACACACACACACACATGTGTAGATGGACAATAAAGGAATAATTTGATTTTAGTAAGAAATTTATCAAGATTACCTGCTCGGACATGCAAAAAGATTGCCGCGCAAAGCTTGGAAATAAATTATCTGATTTATCTTAACAAACTAAAAGAAACTCGGCCAAAAACTATATGCTACCATTCACAAAAGAGTCAACCTTGTCAGTTCTAATAAACTATGCAGGCTAATTTGCAGCAGAACAAGCTACTAGTCTTCTTGTCAACAGCAACATACCATGAGAACCAAGTCAGAATGTAAATGGAATGAGCATAGAAGAAAATTCTCTGGCATGTAGCATTTTAGAAGTGAAATGGTTGCATAACATTGATGCCCCATGCCACAGAAAGAGAAAACCTCGATATACTCCATATGTATGTATGCAAAATTGTGAATTTGTGATATCATTATGTTGACATATATCAGCCAAAATGTCTCAAAGATACATGGAAGGCCATGTGGGAAATTTTGTTTGGATTTCTAGAAACAGAAACTTTTGGTGACTGGTATTAAATGCTTATCAAGACAGATATGCCAACATTGTTGTATCAGCTCTCAACCCCAGCCAAAAAGAAAATAAAAGCATGAATTTGTACTTATGGTCCCAGAATATTTATTTACGAAAGAAATTTTATAAGCCATAAGCTATCTAAATAACAAAAGTTAAACAACAATGAACAAATGATCAGTGCCTTCATTCTTCCTCTAACACTAGTGTTGATGCACATTTCTATTAAAATTATAAATACATTTATTTTATTCTAAGTCATACAGAAAACAGAATAGTGGATAGGGTACAGATTCTGAGTGATCTATTAAAAAAAATTAAAAAATTATGAATTTTTAAATTAATGATGAATATCAATAGATTGAGAGCAGGAAACGTAAATAAAGGAGCATTAATGTGACTTGGAGAATATTGATGGCAATCTTCCCTTTGGCGGGATACATATATAAAAATCATCAAATTTGTGAAGAATAGCAAAGCAAATCTAATGATTGAGGATTACATAAGGTTGAGCAAATAATCATTTTATTTCTGAGGTCAAGTAAGTGTCAACATATCATGGGAGAAGAAAGAAAATAAATAAACCAAATGACTTATATAAAAACTACATAGGTTTAACAATTTGTGCCCAGGTGGTACAAAAAAAATGTAAACCCGTAAATGGTTTTCTAATAATGAAATTTTTACATGAAATGAATATTTCTATTTAAGTGGCTAATCTTAAGAAAATTAATAAAATGACCAACAAAAGGTATATACAAAAATAAATATTTAAAAGATCACAGCTCAAAATAATAACTTATGTTTATTGGTTCAACAATAAAGTTTCACATAAAAACATTTTTTTATCCAAAGAACTACTACATAATATTCTATAAAAATAAGAGTTGTGCACAAATTCAAAAGCTTGAACGATGGATTTACAAAGTAACTCAAAATTTTATCTTTCTCATTGGTCAATTCAAAACCAAACTCATTTATTTAACTATTTATCGGACCAACAAAGAAACCAAAGGAAATATATGCAAATATAAAAGAAACTAAGGATTTTTACATTAAAAAAAGAAAAATGCAATAGGATATCCCTATTGGCTCTTAGGTTTGAATGGTCAAAAGGAAGCATGCATGACTAAGATCTAAGTCAAAAAACTTAAATGCAGATTATAAGATTCAAGATTGATGTGCCTATATACAAAGCATTAGGTCTGCATATAAAAATTATAGAATATAGATTATTTGAAAAGTGTATATAGAGAAATATTTTTATTTTAAAGAACATATTTTTATTATCAGGTTCTATAAGTAAAATATTCTCCCAAAAGTAAATAACTTACAAGGGAATGACAATAACAAGAGATGAAATCCCAACCCCCAAAAGTCAGCTATTGTAAAAGTTTAAAAATAAAATAAAATATATAGATTATTTTTTTTTCTTTACAAGGATGTACATGAGAAAGTGAAATTTTACTGAAAATTCCTCGAATCCAGTAAGATAAGAAAAATGAATAGTTGATTAGTGGACCCCACTCTATTACCAAACATAAACAATGGATTGGTACAAACTCAATAGCAATGAACCATATATTAAGACGGGGAAAAGCTTAAGAAAAAAATGGTAATCTCAAGGCCCATCAACATTCAGAGGAGTCCAATTCCATCTCTTTCACCCACTGAAAAGAGGCCAATGAGTATGTGGTATATCTGAGAAAAAAAAAAGAAAGAGAGATGCAATGACTACCAATAAACCCACTTGATTTCAGTAAGGCCCAAACATTGGGCTTGTGGTATATTTGGAAGAGCCATGAACCAATATGAAGGCAGAAAAAAAGGAAAAAACTGAAAAAAACTTAGAGTAGAGAAATGATGAGACCCATTGGTTGAGGCAATGAAGGAACTTTAGCTCTTTTATGGTAGGATATAGATTATTTTCATTTCTTGTTCCATACCCAGATTCAGATAAGTTGTTATTTGCTAGATGCAATACTAAAGATTAGATTTACAAATAGACTTCTGGATAAACTCTTAAATAGAATTTCTACTTCTGTAGAAATTTTACACATTAGCTAGAGGTATGCTTCAAAACCCCTGATTGTTTTTTCTAGAAAAAGTGAAACTACAAGATGAAGCATCAATACCATTATCTTATGTTATTCAAAGAATGATAGTGCACAAGATGCAAGCCCATGTTGGTAACAAATAGAGAGGAAAAGGAGAAAGAGAGAATTAGAGATGGAAATTTGAAAACCAACATCAACAACAAATTTCCACCTCATTGCTGGCTTGGAAAAGACGCAAGAGAGGAGATGAAGGGGAAGAGTAGGAAGAGGCCTATGGAGGGATGTCATACTCAAAATCGACAGTGGGGATGTTGGTATTATCCAAGTCTCCAGTGCCAGTACTGAGGACCTAGAGTTAAGAGATTTGAAAGCAGGGTATAGTAAAGCAGTTGAAGCTTGAAGCTAAAGAAGATGGACGTGATGTCAAGCAGTAGTTGTGCAAATGAAGACAATCTTCATATGCCAACAATTCATTTTTTGGGGGCTCCCATTTCCTCCTCCATCGAAGATTATATAATGTGTGCAAGGTGAGACAACCTTAGCCACACTGACCCTATGGTATGCATCACACAAGAGGGTTACACGCCAACAACCTATAGACTAGAAGCTAACATAGATAGTCAATAATCATTAATTAATTATGAAATTATTGTAGAAAATAAGAGTTAATTGATCATACATTCTTGATCCCTAACTGATCTAATCATCAATTGGTTCATTGAATTGAGTCACTATTATGTCAACAAATATAAAGAAAAATGATTTGTATCCAATCTAAACTGCAACAGATCTTATAGCACATCTATCTATATCAGATACATTGGACCTGCTCTAACCTTTTAGTGAACTCTATGCTTCCACCCATAATCATGTGATCATTGGAGACTAATTCAGTGAGTCGAACTCCTCCAGCACCGGAAAGCAACTGGCATATTCAGCTATCTTTATCTTATTCATTTTGAGAAATGAACTGGCTCTGTTGTTTCCACAAAAGCTTCCAGCTATCATAAGATTTGCAACTCCAAAACAGCTCCATATATGAACAAACATGCAATGAACACCCAAAATCATTCGTGATGACCAATTGTAATATATTCATTGTCACAAGTTCCCTCTAAACCGATACTTGATTGTTTTGATTTGACTTCTTCTCAAGGACTTCTAGTCCTATTTGGTACAACTTCTAGCTAATTACAGACAAACATTCTAAGGTCTGATTGCTAATGCTCTCAGTCTCTATCACAAACATGCCACTTGGAAAATCATCAATCATCAACTTTTTGAGAATAAAGTCATCATGCGCTCATTCATATCCAATTGCCTATACCATGTAAAAATGCAGTCACCAAATGCTCTTTAGGGAGAGATTCCAACAAATTTGATGAACTCCCAAATTCCAATGCCTTGTTATTCAGTATTTGCATTGTCCACCAAGAACTTATTTACATTTGATTCTATGTTAGCCACATCATTCATTATCATAGGGTTATCAACAAGAATTGGTGTAACATTCTATATCAGAGTTTTATTAATAAACTAAATTATTACAAGATTATAGTGGCAAAAATACCATATATTAGCATACACAAGCCGAAAGTCAAGAAAGCCAATATAAAAAGGGGAAAAATGCTATTATTAGCAAGATGAAAGAGAACAGAAGGCTAGAGGCCACGTGAAGCACCTTTTTCATCAAGAAAAATTGCAATCATATCAGACCAGTAAAAAAGGACAACCAAATACTTTCTTCTTTAGGACCATACTAAAATAGAAGTAAAAGGATTATGGTTTGTATATAAGCAACTTAAGAAGTAATTAGACATCTGGTAGTGTTTGAATAGACCCAAACAGCACACAGACCTTGGTCACCCACCTATCTGCTTCCTTATCTCGGTTCTGTAATCTGTGTCAAGAAATAACAGTTAACAGTTGACCATTATACATTTTACACCTAGCTTTGCTGAACAACAATTTAGCAATATTCCGAAGAGATTGGAGAATGTAAATCAAGGTCAAAACTGAACCTAAAATGATTTGATCTGCTTAGCTTACATCTGCCAATTGTTGCCACTAATTGTTGACATGCCCTCATGATCATCAAATGGTGTCCGTAAGTCAATTGACAAGTAAAACTCTGGATGTTTGACAAAATAATCCCAGGATTCTGCAGATCTCGAGTTTTCTCATTGATCCAGTGTGTCTTGATCGGCTACATTTAAAGACTTGAATCATACTGAACTTCACATGCAAAACCCAAAGCTTCATATCATCATCTAGAATGAACCTTTTGCCTTCAGAAAATGGTGAGTACGAGAAAAAAAAGCTCAATCATATTTTGATGGATGGATCAACTATAATGTCAAGAAGCATAGCGAAAATAAGTTTCAGCAGATAAATATAAATTTCAATGGAGACAAATGACACAACGGAAACAAGAAGAAAATACTACGAAGAATAAGAAGAGTAAATAACATTTCACTTCACTTTGAGAACTGATCTACGCATGATTCCACAAACCTGCCAACAAAACAGATGAACAATGAAGCTAAGTCTTAATTGAATAAGCTACCAAAGAAACAGATGAACAACGAAGTGTCCAATTAGGAATCCATAAGTAACTAGAATGGTTAATATATTCTTTAGAGCATCCTGATTTACTTGAATATGGCTAATATGTTCTTTAAAGTTCCTTAAACATACAAAAAATGATTCAAAGTCCAGTAACCTGATATGCCTCAACCTTAATAGCTTTTCTATTGCATCAATTAACCTGGGACACCATAGTATCCTCATTATTTCCTGCTGAAAAGTACTATCACCAGTCCCTTGATCTCATAGTGACATACCATGATCATCTCCCTTGTCATCAATATGCAACACAAGGTATGTTGGAGTTGGACATTACCCAGCCACCCTTACACATGTTATCACCATCAACATGCATAATTTCATGTTCCACTTTTCAATTAAAAACCACAAATTCAAGACCTTCATCTTAGCTAAAGATCAAATATCATATTTCCTGATAGACCAATATTATAATGCAAAAATCATAACCAATCATCGTTATACACTTTCTAGCAACTGGTAAATGATCAGAAACAACACCAAATAGTTGCTCTACTTTTAGGCAACTTCACAAGCTCTACTTAAATGCCTTCTTTTCTTCTCTCCAGACAGAAGACAACAAACCAGCTAAATGAAGCTAGGTTCTTCAACAATTTTTATCATTCTTGCATACACTTGCTTGAATTGATTTCAGTATATGCCATCAATATGGAACACAAGGTCTGTTGTACATTACCAGGCCACCCTTAGACATGTTATCAGCACCAACATGCATAATTTTGTGTTCCACTTTTCAATTAAAAACCACAAACTCAAGGCCTTCATCTTAGTTGAAGATCGGTATCATATTTCCTCATAGACCAATATTATAATTCAAAAATCATAACCAATCATCGCTGTACACTTTCTAGCAAAATGTAAAAGATCAAAAACAACACCAAATTGTTGCTCTACTTTTAGGCACCTTCATATGCTCTACTTACATGCCTTCTTTTCTTCTCTCCGGACAGAGGACAAAAACCCAGCTAAATGAAGCTAGGTTCTTCAGCAATTTTTATCATTCTTGTATATTTTTGCTTGAATTGATTTCATTATATGCCACAAATACTAAAACTTTTCTTTCATATTTGAGTTAGATATAGAAAATATAGGACTATAAATGTTATAAAAATATATAATAGATTCAGCCATGAAAGATCAGCATTGGTTTGTAATCATGATATGAATCTGCTGTCCAATAAAATGTGGATTCACATTGAATTACAAAAAAGGAAAGACTACTCTAAAAAAGCTACCTGAAATAGCTCCAGAGCCACTCAAGTAATTTGAAGAATTACCATTTGTGAAGTTTGGTTTAAAGATACTAATACATCTTGAAACCTTCTCCAGAGTCTTTGGCATTTTGAATCAAGAGCTTGTTGTAAACTAAATCACCCATGTTCCAAATTGAAGACTATGACTCTGATTATTACAGTCTCGAATGTCCATAAAACCTAAAAGGCTTTCAAATTCTTGTTTAATCATATACAAGAAAAGAATATAAAATGCTGTACAAATGAAGGTATGTTTTGGACAGTAGGTCCGATTTCATGTAACCTGGACCAGCGCTACAATAAAGACCCTCGGGAAGTTGGTAATATGCTAGCACGATGATAAACCAACTGTAATATGCTTTTAGCAAGAAGAAGGCTCTTTTATACCCTGAAACTCGCCATCATCCACATTCCTGACAGGGCTCGAAGCAGAATAGCCAACATGAACCTATTTCTACAAATGGAATTTTCAAGACAGACTCACAAAACGTATCAGCCAAAACTTGGACGGCACATATCCAGGAAAAACCACCACTCAACAAGCAATATGTACCAAGCCTACATCCTGAGAGTGCCAGTGCACTTAACATAGCAGACCAAGCAAGAGACTACCAAAATTCTCAAAAGAGCAGCAGCTATAAGGAATCAATTCACCATGCTCCACACCAAACACGACTTCGAGACCCTAATCCAAACCCACATCCTCACCTACTGAAGCGAACGCACGGAAACCCTAGAACCCACGCCACAACTTCGTAAAGACAGGCTAAGCAGTTACCCGAGCTCGCAATCGTAAGCAGAAGTCGAGAACAAGAAATCAGAGCACAAGAAAGCGAATATGAAGAGAAGAGGACAAAAACCGGAGGAGGAATTCCACGGAACCGAACCTTCTTCTTCCATCCAGTGGGCGCCGGGAGCTCGACGGAGACGGCGTCCCCCTTGTCGTCCGTCGCCTTCTCCGGCGGCTGCGGCGGCGGCGATCCCTTCTCGGCGCTCGCGTCGCCGGCCTTCTCCTCCGCCATCGCTCGTCTTTTCGGGTTCCACTTCCCGCTCTCAGATAAGTCAACCGTAAACAAGCGAACGGAAATAAAAATAAATATACATAAAAGAGAAGAACAAATAACGTATTTAAAGCCCGCAACAAAAAGTCTCTCACGCTCGGGTCGCCGTTCTTTTCGAACACCATTCCGTAAACGGCGGAACTCGGAGTGAACCCAGCGCTGGATTGGAACACGAGCTCTCGCGTCCGATGCTACCGAGTACGGATCTCCTGCACGACCCCGTCGCCAAATCCTTCCTTTCCTCCTCATAATTGGTCGATATGGTGGGACCAGTCGAACCCACCGATTCTATCCAATGGGGCTTAGAGAACAATCAGATGAACGAGGTGGCTCGTGCAGGGGATTTTTAGGTTGTGCGGATTTATTTTCCCTAGGGGCACGCGGTGAGGCGTGGTTGGTGGTGAGTTAGAAGACGGTGAAGCCAGCACCGCGCCGGATGACGGTGACGTCGACGGGCTTAACGCCGTTAAAGACTGGTTGAGGACGTTGATGATGGAAGTTGAAAGCGACACGTGTTGAATTGGGCACCTTTTGAACATGTGCCATGTGGCACGGGTTTTTGCCCCTTCTTCCAACTTTATCCACCCATCAGAAATAAAGAAGAAAGAAATGGTGGCTACTTGTCATTTATAGAATCGACTTTGGGCAAAATAGTCAACTAGGAATCGAATTTCAATCAACCGATTAAATCTGAAATATAATTACGAATATCGAATTATCGAATTTGAACCGATTGATCTGATCGGATTCAGTCCAGTTCGACCAACATTGGATTGGGCCGGTTGGACTGCTAAGGACATTGGACCGGTAAATACCAACTCAACCGAACCACAATCCATACTTTGTGTTACTAAATTGGATTGGACCGGTTGAGACTGCTTTGGACATTGGACCGATAAAGACCAACTCGATCGAACCAACATCGATGCTCTTCTTGGTTGATCTGAAATTACGCGTGGAGATCATGATGGAAATATAAGGGTTACTAAAATACAAAGAAATCACCTGAAATTTAGATCTAATAACGTGGAATCGAGATTCATAAGAGACGAGGGAGCCGAAGAAGAGGCGACGAATTCCGCGACCGTGTCGCTGCCGGGTGTTGCCGTCCGAGACCCGGAGACGATGGAGTATACTCCAGCCGAGAGATTCCATCGTTTTCCTTCTCTTCTCCATTTTGCTATTCGAAATATTTTAGGTTTCAAATGTTTGATCTCGTGCTAGGTGATTGCCGATTTTGATGGCAGGCACGCTCGCGACGTACTGGATTTATGGCCGCGGTGGTCAGAGTAGATTACATTTAATTTCTTCCTCTCTTTTATTAAGGGTAAATGACGTTGGTTTCGGTTAGATTCTTGGTTTGTTGTGGTTGGGTAGCCATGGATTGCTATAGCAGGGGAATGCTGCAGGAGGAAAAAACTAAGCTGATGAAAGAATGGAACATAAATATACTTGCTTCAGAACAGTCCTGGTTTGGTTGCCGGTCCATCTGTACGACATAGTTTTGTCCTAGGTCTAGAAATTATTGAACTGATTTTTTTGTTTTCATCTGTTGGCTATTTTAGTTGTCCCAGAATTGCTCGCCCCTACAATTTTGGCCTGGATTGATCCTTTCCCTTTCCTACGCCAACATTTCTTGGCTATAAACACATTTGTCAGCAGCAAATACCCTTAGACATCATACAATTAGATGTCATGTAACGTAAAAAGCATGTATTGGATCTTCATATCCTGGCTACAAATCTCTCAAGGTGCTGGGTTGTGTTATGTTTGACCTGTTTACTAAATTGATCAGGTTTACAATACCCAAGTCTTATATTGAGCTGGAATATGGATTTATAAAGCATCGTAAGTACTTTTTAGGAGGCTTAGCTGACATGGTTTTGGGCTTGGATCCAACAATATGGTATAGAGATAATCACATATTTTACATTACATGGCATCCAATCACTATTGTGCTTAAAATATATTCATCAAGGAGGAGGATCTTTAATTTGTAGGAATCTTGCCGCGGGCAGTTTCGATGCTTGTCAACCCATTCAATAATTGTTTGCACTATCTACAAGTGGTATTAGTTTGGATTCTCACTTATTACAATTTGGTCATTTATATCAACTTACCACTATTTTTTTCAGGTAGTAGAATACTAAAAATATATTGTTCTTTTATTGACCTTATATGCATTAATATGTGGCTACACCTACTTACATGTTCCAATGTGAATGTCTATCTTTATGTAATAGATGTCTTCAGTGGAGTAGGTTAATTAAATATGTTGATTTAGAGGAGCCATTACAGCAGACCTTTATTACCAGCCATTTCTCTGTACTCTGTGGTTATTTTAAGACAACAAAACTCATGAAATTGATGGATTAAGTACAACTTATTTTCTGTTATGTTAACTTGCTGTCCTAAATAGGCTCTTGGAATGATCTTAGACCACGTGAATGTAAAATAACAACCCAGTTATGTTGATTGTTTAGTTCAATTCTGTATGTTCGATTGTGCAGGCTCACTACTTGTGCACATTTTTATTTGAAGTTATATAACTAAATCATATATTAATTTATAATAATATTAAATCTTTGTACTATTTGATCTCTATTAATGGTTAAAACAATTTAATGCCTGCTTAAATTTTTAACTTCTAGTTGTAAATGTTTTATCATTATGACATAGTTGCTGAGTTGGTGTTTTCTTTTTCACCTATCCTGAGACTATTAACCTTGTAATTTGTTTCTTGTACTCATCGAAACTTGTGTAGTAGTAAATCAAATAATAGATTGCAATTGTATCAGTTAGGATAGCCTGTAAAGATCAGAACTTCTGTAGATAGATGAGCCAACTTGATGTTTGTCCATTGGTCCTACTCCGACTGATCCATGGACTTGGCCATAAGACGAGCCATGTTCTGCATGGTTCATAACTTCTATAAGAGGCACTATGGTTAAGAAGGTCTCCTGGAGAGGTCTCTAAAGGATTTTTCCTCTGAGTTCCTTTATTTCTTTGGTAGTTTGATATCATGTTATCTTGGGCTGTCTAGTTTGACAAACAGATATTAGCATTAGGCCATGTCAAGGACTTTCGTTCTCCAAGACTTGAAGACCATGTATGATAGATCATGGTCTTCTCATTAAAAAAAATTATACTCTGATGATTGCTTATATTATGTTAAAGAAATTTAATTACTGTAAAACTAATATATTTACCACGGTTGAAACCGCCACAGATTTGAGATTATGGGATAAATTTATCTATCCTCTGAGCCATAGTCTAGGCAGTTCTACATCTCTGAAACTTTCAAATCTTTGTAAATCAACTAGTGTTGATTAATATAGAAATTTTCTCCTTATAAGTCCTGAATTATGAGAACCTTGTTTTTCCATACTAAGGTTTTAGAAGTCAGAAAATTCCCTGATTTGTTCGGCAGTTGTCATCACTGAAGAGGTTGAAAAAATTAGCCGCCTTCTGATTTTGTTTTGTCCTACACATCGCCCTTATTGGGACAAAGTAAGCCCTAATCACGGACAGTGCGCCCAGATTCCTTTGTTGAGACTGCCTTCCATTTATCCTGTTTATTTTAAGGAAAATGGGGATCACTGCCCAACCACTGCCGCCATCCTCCCTTAACCCAGAAGAAAGGAGAAGATAGAGGAGAGAAAAATGAGATCATGAGGAAAGGCTGGAAGTGGAAAAGGAACTGAAAGGAGAGATGATAGAAAAGATTCCATAATTATTATCTGCAAGGTAAATTTATGATTAACTAGGGAAAAGTTGTCCATTTCTAACTGGTTGGTAAAAATTGACCTCCATCAATTTCTGGGATCTGCTTCTTAGTCCACAGTCCAAAAGTACTCAGACTTGTGTTGGGTGTTTATTAGACTAGCTAAATTAATAGAACTTTTTTTTGCATCATGCAGGAAAGAAGTGTGCCTGTTCTTGTCCTTTCTGCTGGTATTGCAGACATCATTGAAGAGGTTAATTCATGACTGATGGGAATATTTCTACACTTATTAGTTATGAACTGTGTTACAGTGCAGAAAAAATCTCTTTATTTTTTTTATATTATCAGGTTTTCAGGCAGAAACTTCATAGATCTTTTGAGAATATTAGGGTTATTTCTAACAGAATGGTGTTTTACGAAAAGGGTCATCTTGTTGCTAATAAAGGTAATTCTTTATTTTTTTAGTTCTTCAAAATATCCAGTAAACAGAAGCTAATATTTTATGGATTTTTTCCTTTGAACATATAAGTCGTAGCCTAGATTCTTTAAGCGTACGAATGCTTTTGCTTGTTCAAGGTCTATTTGCAGTTGACCTTTCATCTCAATATGACAATTCCAGAGTTGGGATTTTTTAAAGCGCCAAAGATCGTATAAGATAACTACACAATGAAGTCTAAAATTGATCATAGCTGGAAATATTGTGATGAATTTTGATAAATATTTCATATTAATTATGAAAAAGCTTGGATATAAAAGATGCAGAAAAAAGATTGATGAACTAATCTGAGAAGTTACGTAAAAAATTATCTTTCTTTTTAACTAAATTGGGGTCAATAGGAAAAGGTAAAATATAAGATTCCGGTGCTTGTCAGATTATCATGTCATATTATGAGATTGTGTTAATACCTTCACAGCTGGTTTGTTCGTGCCAGTCAGCAGGTTCATGTACAAATCAGCATAGGCAAAAAACTGGCTTGGCTGTTGGCATTTCGAGCATGGTCTGTTATGGTGTGTGGCCTACGTACTCTTTGCATAGTAGGTTTTGACAATCTCAACATTTTCCTATCAGTGTGGTAACCCAGGGACTTATTACCCAAAATACCTAAACCCCACTACAAACTGAAAAAAGGGAAAGTGAACCATGTTCATCCTTAAAATATTTCATTCATGAATTTTACTATGCATTTTTCTACTTCTCATGTTGTACTGCTTTGCTGCAACTGATAGTGATCACATGGAAGAATGAGCCTCCTTCAGATATGGCTGCTCCTATTCATAACAGATTCGAAGCTCCTAATCGTCTAACCATGGTAATGTTGTGGTGAAGAAAAGAACTAATGTGATACTTATCGGAGATCATATCACAGACCTGGGCACGGTAGCTGTTCGATTTCTGTAAGTAACCTTCTAGATTGTAATCAAGTCATGAACTCATTGGTGTCTAAGTTTCAGGCACAATTCTTCCTTTACAACTGTAGCAAGAGATATATTTTTTCACCATCGGTGGTAAACATGTCACAACTGTTGTATGATTTGGCAGACAGTTTTTTGACAAATAAGATGTAATTGAAGTTCTTGGTACATTTGCAACAAGATTTTGAATTAGCTTTGGACGGATGGCCGTTCACAAACTTAGTTTCCTTAATCCAGTTCATGAAATGTGACTTTCATGGATCTGGAATGCGTAATGCAGATTAAATGGAAGAATTGCACCAGAAGATAGCTTCATTTGTGATAATGTAGAACACAACCATTTACAACATGCATTTCTTGTTGCAGTGTTATCATATCTCTGGACACCTATATTTCATTTTGCGTTTCATATGGTTGGCTTGAATGATTCAATCGAAAGGAGGCATTCTTCGAATTAATTAATTTGCAGCTGGGCACACATGTTGATCCGACATCCCAACCGATCAGTATTTATCGGTTGGATCAAGGATCGGTATAGGACCATATAGTCGGTCGGAATTTATTGTCTCTCTTTTGTTTCCCAATGATATCGACAGCATAGGTTGAAGTTGTCTTCTATGGGACTGAGGCATGGTTGAAGAAGACATGAATCCATGGCCATGCTTGCAACAATGGGAGACCCACAAGGTCAGGAGAACAATGAGGTGATCTCCTTCTCATCTTGGACGAGCTTTTTTCTATCATCAAACATCTTAAATTAGCATCACTTGGCCAGGTTGAAGAGAGTGTCGATGGAGCTGATGGTGTCAAATATGTGTTGAACAAGGAACAAGAAGCACAGGTTTTTTTTTTCCCATTCATGCATGCAATTACATAGGACAAGGCTTCATGGAATGTGTAGTGAGTGTTATTGTTCGTTCACATGCCACAATCTGTAGTTAACAAAAGACTGCATTTTTATATTCTGATACTGCTGTTTCATTTAGCCTCTAGCGCTCAACTCTTGTGCAAGTAAGTGTTGAGTTGGACCAGACATATATGGGTAAGTAATTTCGTAAGTGTACTTTGTTCTTCTAAAGTCCAAGTAGAGGTTGATCCTAAAACTGCGGTAATTTTAAGTGCATTAGAGTGCAGGAAGTCGATGAATCCAAACTTTGAGGTCCCCAGATATCTCAGCTTGATCCAAGTGGATCAGAGGTCCCGTCCCTTCTTCCTGCCTGTCGCTGGCCCTTTGCAAAACCCTAAAGCCCTGCCAAAGTTCTCATCGAGGTTTGCCCCCACACATAGATGCGGAGTGAATCCTGTGGACAACCAACATTATTTACCTCTCTTCCACTGCCCTTCTTCACTCTTACCTTTCGTGCCATGTGCACCTTTCTGCCGCCCGTGTTGCTGGTGGTGGCAGCTCTTGCACTCGAAATGCAAACAAAGCAGCAAGAGAGATGGTGACAGTGCAACTTTAAGGACGAAGAGTCGTGTGATTTCAAAAGGTACACTTCTCTCTCTCTCTGAGGGCCACAAGTTCTTCATCTGCCAATCTGCCAATCTTATCGAGAGATCGTGAAAAGTTCATAGCTTTACTGACTGTACAAATCATGGACGTTAAATCTCTTGCTCAAGCACATGCCTAGTTAGCAAGCATACTGCATCCCTTTCAGCGTGCTCCCAGTCCCATCCATTCGAGCACTTGCCATTTGCACGATTGTGTCCTCAAGTTCGATCAAACATCACTTGTCTATGGTGGTGTGTGGCTTCGTGACCGTGTCAGTGAGGAGGGTGAGGTTGATCCATGAATTGATGTCTCAGGATTTGGACAAATGCAGTGCAGGCACCACAGTATTGGCCTCTTCCAACCCTTTCAATGGTCATCGGCAACCTTACCCGATGGAAAGAGACACAGCTTCGGCCCTCATCTTCCCTGTCTTTTTTGTCTTGATACCAACCAGTCCGTGGAGAGGAAGCAACAGGCGTACAGACAGCATACATGCATGTATGTGTTTGCACCTACGTGCGGAGCATGCGTGCACCCGATCGATGAGCAATTTGGCTTTACCTATGTTTTGAGTTCAGATCGACTATGCTTCATCGGCTCGACTAATTAGGTCAACCACATCCATGAATATTGTTCATGTTATTTTCTTTACATAAAATGAAGGAAGAAGAAGAAGAAAAAAATAACTTTGACGATGATGGTGGTGATTGATTCAATGGTGGTTCCAATCAACCATGCAAGTCATTGATGATGATGATGATGATGATGATGATGATGATGATGGGAAAATTGTTAGAAATTAGTGTCCTTCACAGTCTTTTACATTATACACACTACATGTATCCCAATCAAATAAAGAAAACAAAGAAGAAGAAGAAGAAGATGAAAGGTTTTGACGGTTTGGTGGGGGATGCCATCCACAAGTTTGGTAGCCAGTGATTGCACTAAGCATTAATATCTTTGCATTAAAGGAAAAGTGGATCATATAGACCTATTAATTACATTAGAACTCCAAATATATAGATGATAATTGTGTGTTTGCTATTAGACTCGCCTGTCAATTGCTTTCATCATCTTAACCATTCTTACAATCTTATTGGTCCAAAACGACAGTGCTCATTAAAGAGTAGGTGATAGAAGTTTGGTTGTTTATGCATTCACACAGCTTAGCTTCAAGTGCAAGCAACAGTAGGTGGTATTACCCATCCCCTTGTCTTGTGCCATTGTGTGTGCTGTGTTGATCAATAGGACCCTTTTCCAATGAGTTTTGAGCATGCCTTGTGTCCTATTTGTGGTGTAGGATACCATTTTGAAGTCCTATGGCTAATGGTTGCATATTACCAACAACAAAAAAGTAGCAATATTGGATTTTATTTCAAGTTTTGATCACTTAGAAAGTACCAAAACATCATAGAAAATAATGCAGAGGATGTTCATGAAGCCTCTCATTTCTTTAGTACTGTTTTCATGATCATTTACAATCACATAAACAATGTTCATCAAATTAAGGCCAAACATGTTGTCAGGAAAATATATGTTGCATGATTCATAAGTTTATGATAGTGAATACCCATGCCATGGTGGATTTCTTGACTTCAGTCTTTGCAGACTTTTATATATAAATATATGTTATACATTTGCTATAACAAAAATGCAGTGCATACAGGAGGAGATGGAGATGTGTTCTTGGACATTATTGCATCTCTATCATGACCTATATATTTATGTACATACATGCATACAAAGTTTTCGTTCTACTGTATGTGAATCGATCACATCGATCATCTCAATCACCACATGTGCTCTATCTAAAAGAATCCAAAATGTCCAATCTATATGACACAACATGGGAGAAGTCAGTCATACGAGAAGAGAAGACCGAGCAAAGCTCGAGTGCACAAAGAAATGATTAGAAGACAGACAGCAAGTCATCAGAAGGGCATGATCTTGACACATCCTTCCATAGCTGCAGATTTCCACTGCTCGGGAGAAGAAAAATATAACTGTAGATTAATTTCTTGCTTTTTTGACGAGAAAACAACGCAGGTCATGAGATCAAAAACCTAATTATTCCTGCACACTCGACATTTAGCTGTTCTGGACATCCTCTTTGGTCATATCTAACTCATGCCATTTGGATTCTTGCTCGAGGACTTCGCTCATCTCCATCAGTACCTGCACTCGGTCCTCCTTCGGCACCTGGCCGTAAGAGGCAGAGTGACGAGCAGGAGAGTAGAAGTCATGTCACACGCGGTCAGTCAGTACCATGGCAAACCGAGTGATCAATGCCGGTTCTTGAGATGAATCAAAGTGATGGTCCATGGAAACATGTCACGGTCGAACACTTATGCTTCTGAGCTGAGCGACTTTAGCTGAACTTTGTGTATGGGTGCAGCATCTCCTGAGTCGTCCATGTCAAGTGTACACCCCCCTCCAAACGCTGATTCCCTCAGTGCGAAGGAAAGGACGACGACCGACGCTGCATTTTTCGTGCATTGGAATCAATCACCATGCGCTTTCTAGTAGAACTTTAACCCATCGGTTAGAGCATTAGAAATGTAGGTGTAGGTAAAATAGCTTCAATGTTGTTATGTGAAATGAAGTCCACATCTTACTTAAAAATCAAGTCTTTTTTTTTTTTGGGTTATGATTTACTGCTATTTTATATTTTTTTTAACAACATCTTGAAAATATATGACTTTGATTAAAAATATATTAAAAAAAAGATTTAAGTCCTCTAAATTTAACTAAATATATGATCTTTTTATGTGTCTCAATAACGATAAAAGATTCATATAGTCGATTCCACATGTATTATTGTTTGTTCTTTTATTCATTGTATTATTATTTTTTCTTTTCCATGGGAACCCAAAGTGGTTTGTAGTTGGAAAAGGGATAAAATGTATGTAGAAGGATGAGATGGCATAAATATTATAAATACTGAAATGGATTGATGATGCTGGGTTGGAGATGTATCACTTGTTCACATTATGGTGCATTAAATCCTTGATGCTGTCAAAGGTATCTAACAATAGATTTTAGTTTAGAATGAGGATATATTTATTTATTTATTTATTTAGAAACCCTTTTCAGAGGCAAAGCAAATCACCTTTTGTTTTGTTGCTACCAATTGGTAGAATGGTAACTTATCATAACCCAAAAGAGATGGTCATAATAAAAAGAAGCTCAAAAGGAGGAGGTGCATCCTCTCTCTCTCTCTCTCTCTCTCTCTCTCTTTCTCTGTGCATTAAAAGTCCATGTCACACCCACATGGTGGTGAGTACAGAGAGAGAGAGATGGAGAGGACTCTCACCCACTCATTGAATCAATCATAGCACTTCCACCTCTCCTTCCTCTCAAATCTGCTGCCCCAACCCACACTGCATAAGGTTCCTCTCAAATCTGCAGCCCCCACCCACACTCCATATGGTTTTGTTTTGTAACCCTAGCTAAAAACAAAATAAAGTAGGAAGAAGAAGAAGAAGAAGAAGATTAGGAAAGCTTCCCTATCATATCTTGCACCTATAAGCATACCATACTCTTTCTTCCTCAAATCATCTCTTAGCTTCTTCTTCTTCTTCTCCTCCTCCTTCTTCCACTTCCTCATCGTATGTAGAAAGCCTTGGGTTGATCCGGAATGTCTGCCCAACTTCCACCTGAGCACATTTGCTACGTCCACTGCAACTTCTGCAACACCATCCTTGCGGTAAAGATCATGCTGAATTGGCCTTTTGTTCCCTCTTCTCTCTAAGCTTCTCTTTCTGTCGTCTCATCGCGCTTCATTTTCTACACAACTTTCTTAGTATCATCATATCAAGCAGATCAGCAATGATTTGCCCGCTGCCTCGTCCTCTATCCTATTATTATCGTATATTTAGTGCTTAAGGAAGTTTGCAGCTCGAAGATGATGGCAGTCAGTATGTGTAAGTACGCTCGAAGATCGATCCATGTAGGAGATGGAAAGAAATAGTGAACACTATTTCATCATGTTGGCATATGGGTGCAGAAGCTTGATGAGATGATATGACAGAATCAATCATGAGGCCAACATACAGAATCGGGCACATGTCTACGTGCCTTTGACAATTGAATTCCAACCATAGTATCTTGCAATTTTGGATCTTCCACCCATGGCAGCCATCCTCTTATCTTCACCAAAAGAGCCAAGGTTAGGTTACAGGTTGCATGATAGCTTACGCTTCTCAGCTTTATGGATCCATTGCAAAGCCACAATTGTCATTGTTGAGAACTTATTCTTCTTCATTTTTTTCTTCTTGTTTTAACAGAAAATTTTCTACTTTCTGTCATTAAAGATGTATAGTGAATGAGATCTGCATCATCAATTGATTCTTGGATTCAAGATTTCATGGCTGCCATTCTATGGAACTCATTGGGATGAGCAGATCTTTTTGTTCCTTGCTTAGGAGGAGGAGGAGGAGGAGGATATCAACCACCTTTGAGTCCCAGGATCCTCATCTCCATCACTGGGTTTCCCCAGCGAGATAGCAGATTCATCACATTCTTATCTCTTTACATGCACTTTCTTGTCATTAAGGATGTTCTCTTCCACTTTGGATTCTTTCACCCACGCCAATCTTATCCATGATAATGGGTTTCTGGCCATGCAATGTTCGTCTCCTTCCTTGGGTAGTCATGGCTTTTCTAATGACTTTGAAGCAGAAAAGAAGAGAGAGAGAGAGAGAGAGAGAGAGAGAGAGAGAGAGAGAGGAGTGCAGAAGATGGCATGACAATTCAAAGGAGCAGCTTTTTCTTTTGCGTTTCTTCTTCTGCTTTTTTTGTGGCTTATTTTCTCTTCTTTTTCGTTCCACCAGTTGTGACTCCTCAGAACTCTGATTCCCTTGGATTTCCTAGAGCGAGTGAGTAGGCAGTGCACACTCGTTTCCCTCCTAGAGAAAGTCTAAAGTTCCTCCAGGCATTGATCTCTTAAAAGTAGACATCGGAAAAGAAACTCCAAATCCATAAACAAAAGAAAAAGTAGATCCCAAAAGTAGACCCATCCCTGTCCAAGAAACAAAGGAGAGACCGACCCATCATCTTTTGTTGATGGGCCACTCGCCTTCTGCAGCTACTCTTCTTCCCGATGTTGTTAATCTGTCTCCTCCATGCATGTATTTCCGGCTCTCCTCCTATTGCTTCTTCTTGTCTGATCTCTTCATCTCTCCAAATACTTGCTCTCCCATCAGTATGCTTCACCTTCATGAAGGAAGAACCACTAATGGTGCAACACCTCGGCCACAACTGATGCTTTTGGTCGATCAGTACAACATTTTTGTGCTCCTGCAGCTCAACGCAGCGATTTTTGTTGATCCCAAGTTTGATAGTCTTGGTGTTGCAGGTGAGTGTCCCCGGCAACAGCTTGTTCAGCATTGTAGCAGTGCGATGCGGGCATTGTTGTAATCTGCTGTCTGTGAACATGGGAGACCTGCTTCAGAAACTCCCTCTTCAAGATCTCCAGGTCTGGAACTCCCTCTCAACTCTTGCTTCCCAAACATCTTCCGTCTACTTATTTATGAATGATGGGTGAAGCAGTAAAGATTAACACGATCTGTCTCTCGACATGAATGCCACACGGTACACATAGTTTGGTGTTTAGTTCATTAATGGAAGATGATATAGGATTCTACCACTTCGGTGCACTTCTAAATGTAGTTGAAGCATATATGCTATTGAGGTGATCAGATGATGCAAGATTTTGTTTCGTATTTGAATCGGAAAGCATTGATTTTTGAGGAAAACTGCAGACCTGCAACGCAGCAGCAGCTCATGATGGCAGGACGATGGCATGTGGATCACCTTCCAAGTTCAACAGCACTTCCTTATTCTACAGTGTGCCAAAGGATCAACAACAAATTATGCTGCCTATGCGTCGTAAGCCTCCAAATTTCTTTTCTTCTTCTTCTTCTTTTTTTTTGGGCACTGATAATAGTCTGGAAATTTGGCTAAATTAATGGCCTATTAAGCTCATCCGTCCGACAAAGATTAGCGATTGCACATTAGTCTGCACTCATCATTATTCCATTAGGATTGCCTTCATCAATGAGAATCATTAGAACTAGTGACACCAATTAGCTTACTGATTTCTCTTGTTAATGTTAAGCAGCTCCGGAGAAGAGACATCGCGTGCCGTCTGCATATAACAGGTTCATAAAGTGAGTTTCTGCTCTTCTTCCTTCGTTAGATTCGCTAAAAGCTTTGATGCAGTGTTTCATGCTGCAAACTACTTAACACCAATATGCAGGGAGGAAATACAAAGGATTAAGGCTAACAATCCAGACATCAGCCACAGAGAAGCATTCAGCACCGCGGCGAAGAATGTAAGTGTGACACTATTTTGCTGCACATAAAGCTATTATTATTATTATACTGACTTGTGAGATACATGCTGAAGCTTTTCCATTCCATTGCTATGAGCATACATTTGTTTATTAGTATAGGGTAATTTGGGCATCCATATAAGGTCAGCATACTCAAATGTGAGCTCTAACAAAGACAGCAACTAGTATATACTTGGCATGATTAATCTAAGTTGGACCCTCTTCTTCTTCTTCTTCTTCTTCTTCTTCTTCTTGGTTTCATCCTCCTTTCTGAGTCTTTGATGCACCACAAGCCTGCTTCCAGGTACAGCCTAATATATAGCAGTCTTTTAACACCTGGATTTTAACCTCTTCGATTGCATGGTGTGATGGTGCTCTTCCACATCAAACCATCTTCAATTACAGCAAGTTCCCTTTTAGTGGTCTATCCCCTTAGATTGACTGAGAACAAAATTTTCAGTGAAAATTTTAGATTGTTGAAACATTGGTACTTTCAAGATTAAGGTTGCATGCATGAACAAGTACAAATGAACGCAGTTATAAGCTGAATATCAATATCGCTAAACCATGATAAAACAGGACTAAGAATACTTCAACATGATTTCGGTAAACATTGTGATCTTCATCTGCTGTGGTTAATTGATCGATGTTAACTTAAGGTGTATGCACACCAGAAAATGACTTTTTTTCTTTTTTACTCGTCGAAAGCTTGGATAAACTATGATCGAATTTTTTTTTTCTTCTGTCACACATCACACCGTAAAATTTACGAAGCATTACATAACATTACATGCATTTTATTAAGTTTATCTTTTCATCACTCGATAGAATAACTCGATATTAAAAAGGCTGTATGATTATAGATCTTGATTACCTCTCATGCTTTGATAGGTAACTAATCACTAAATCCATAAAAAAAATTATCACACCAATTGTTAAATAGCCTAAGACTATTTGTTTTCTAAAATCACCATAATGTGATGAGAATTGTGGATCTGCATTAGGCATAACAAGCCAAATAAGTTTTAATTTAGTTGACTTGAGGACATCGTTTTATCGTTTCTTATTGAAATAGCATCTGCAAAATTTGTTCATGCACATGTGTTTGTGTAAATAAGCATATTGATCACACAATTATGTCTCATAAGTTTCTACAAAGATGATAAATAAAACTAATATACCACAATTGACAGATAAAATGGGTTAGTAGACTAAGTCGGGGATGATCATTTAAGTTTTGCTGATCTTTCTGCAAAATTTGCATCATATCTTGACATATAAACCTTGATTCTTTAGGTCTTTTCCCAAGATGATAGTCTTGAACAACAATTTATTAATTCGTATCATCAGAACCAAGAGTTGGAAATTAATTTGTGAGTAGAAATTAGATTACTGTGTTATTAGAACTAAGAATGCAATAAGCTGGCTGTCACTTGCTAGGAAATCAAAATGCACTACTGCTTATATAATGAATGAGACATGGATACCACCTCATTGCTTCAATCATAAATAAAATTGTAATCAGGGGTCAGCACCTGCCAGTGGAAAGCAAAATGGTGGAAGTTTTCAGATGCCAAATTCTAAGTAATAAATCAAAATGATGCACCTTAATTGGCAGTTTAGTTTCAGAATCTTTTTATGATAATATGGATGAGTCATGACAAAGTTATAAGCATAAGAAAATAAAGGCAACAAGTTGGGCCTATGAGTATGAATGACTATTGACTGAGAGTTTGCTTGAAGTAGGAAAGAAAGAATATTAAAAAATAAAATCAATTACTTGTCAAACCAAAATATATAGTTGCTATATTTTTTTGTTTGGAATATTTTGATCTTTTTGGTTGGAATGGTAGCATTCTCCCCTTTCATAAATGAAGCTTTTGGAGGATGTTAAGGTTGTGATTAATTTGTTACATTTTAAAGATTTCATTACCCTTTAATCTCTACCAAATTTATTGCAAATGATGTTCATTGCCACCCAAGTCATTGAAGTTTAATCTTGTTTAAGGGAATTGTCTTCAGAGATTCTTTCATGCTTTTCTCACCCTACCCTTTAGCCTTGTCTCTTCTTTTTGTTACCACTTTTGGCTCAAGTTTACTTACCCATCCCTAAAACCAGTTCTGCTAGGTGTTTGAACTGTGTAGGGTTGTAGAATTAACATCCAATGCTATGGCATGGCTCATTCTCTTTCTTCAATATGGCAGGCATGTTACAAGTATACATTGTTCATAAAGACTGCCTCCCTATGCACTTAGTCTTGCTAACTATACAAATGTAATGCAACAAAAACCAAAGATTTATGTATGCCGGTTTATGTCCTGCTTAATATGCTACATGTAGGAGCCACTCTCCTAAACTACGCTTACGACCGAGCATGAAAAATGAAAAGCCTAATCCAATTAAACTATTGGAATGGAGAAAAAAATTTCGAATATAGATCGGTTCGATCCGATCTTTTGATTCTAGACATTAAATCGAGCCGATTGCATTTATTCTGATATTTTTTTTGTTAGTTAATTATATCTCCATCTCGAGTCTTTATCCTTTCAACTAATCCTTCTCTGCAAATACTTGTGTGCATCTTTTGATTTATTTCTAATGGCACTTATTGTGTTTTCCCCTCTTTCTTCTCCACTAATCACATCTACTACTTACCCTCATCTTCTGTTTTCTTGCAGTGGGCACACTTCCCTCACATCCATTTTGGACTCACCATTGATGGCAGTAAGCAAGCCAAGAATGATGAACCAGCTGCTGCTACAGTCACTGCACCGGGAGGCCAGAAAGCTCAGAGCTTCTTTTGAGCATTATTAATCCGAAGAGTGAGTATGCTGCAGTTATTAAACTTGCAGTCTTCAGGTGGCTATGAAGACCATCTTAATTACCTTTGTTTTGTGGATGCTTAAACATAATAGAAAGAACTCCTAAGCACTCTGGCTATTATTTACTGCTCACTTAAATCAATCCTCTATTATGTGCGAAACCTAGTAAGTTTAGTTTTATTCACCGACGTATATCGCTACGTTAGTCCAGAGTGAACCGCGTACATATATATTGACCCTCTTCGAATCCTGTTTTGACGAGTCTCTCATGAATAGCAAAATTCTTTGATGGCAACAAAATCGACTGTGTGGTGAGTTATATGATCTTTCTCCTTTAGTTTTATGATATCTTAGTTTCTTGGGCACTGAGCTTATTAATAGCTGCAACTAAGGTGGCCTCATGGATTATGACACTATGTTCATCAAGGGTTGTACAGAGAGTAGGTCAGTCATAATCCAATAATGGAGCAAAGATGCTACTTCAGCCTACATGTGCTTTTGTCTATGTTCATAGGGTTTGACTTGTGATATGGAATGTTTAGGGAATCTCATAGAATAATTGAATTGCTTCTCACAATGATCTGATCATTTACTATCATCTACATGCCATCAGCTGATTCTCCTCTAAAATGCAGCATCAAATGGGACTAAAAGTTCACAACAAATAGTCTGAACATATTCAAATCCACACTATAGAAATTAGCTACCTATAGATTAAAGGTCTTAATTAGATCCTCACTAGGTTTTAAACATATAAACAAGTTCATTTTAGCTATATTTTTTGGGAGCACTGTATTTACATGGTTGATTGATAATTAACTTTCTTTTGGACCTAAATTTATTAATGCAAAATAAAGGCAAATATTGTGTGTTCTATTTTGTTAATCAAAATCATCAAGTGATACAAGAATTTATAATAAGATATTATGATTTTTCTTATCCTTCTCTTAACTTTCTTTATGTGCTATTTCATACAATAAATAAAAAGACATCACTCTTTAAGACACCATCTTAAGTCAAACCTTTATTATTATTATTATCTTGGCAAAGTCATAATTCTAGACAAATACATAGTAGACTTTTTGTCATTTATGTTCTATGTTAAAAACAAGATGCCGCATCGATTGAGATGCAAAGTTTCTCTTCTTTTAAATCAGTTTATACACCAAAGAATGTCAATGCAATTATAGTTTGAAAGTATATTTCATACAATGAATAAAAAGAACAAGTAGCTGAGTGTTCTAAGAACAAGGAGGATGCATTGCAAGCACCTTGGTCACACATGGAGTCGATAGTTCATCCCACTTGAAGATTAGCATCTTAACATCCAAAGAATGAGATACTGCATCACGAGAGAAGTTTCAGACCTACTTTCGAGTACAAATATAAAAGGTGCAGGTGAAACATAAAGACCTTGATGATGACAAGAATCAACATACGAGTCTGAAGTGCTGCCTCGTAGGGTGTGAGTAATGAGTATAGTAAAAGCTCACAATGCATGAGAGAGAGAGAGAGAGAGAGAGAGAGAGAGATTGGTGAAATAATGAAGTGTCCTGTCAACAGTGATTCAGAATGTGTTGGTGAGGCAAATGAAGTGTCGCCCTCAACAGTGATTCGGAATATTTAAGCGTCTGCAAGTCACTCCGCGCCGAGAACACTCCCTCCCTTAAACATCTCTCTCGCTTTCTGTCTCTCTCTCTTCTCTTTCCTTGGATTCAGCGAAAGATGTTTTATGACTCCATCGATGGCAGAGCGGCAGGTCTGCTAAAATGAAAGCTAGACATGGATGAAGCTGAACTGTATCGGTTCCTATCCTTTCAAAAGATTGGAAATAAGATTGTCATACACGTTAAACAATATTCTGAGTCACTCATTATTTGATGCATGGAATCTGCGTCGATGCATTCTAACTTAGCAAAACGTGCGACGTGGGAAGCGCATCTGCGCCGCGCTCCACATAGACAAAAGCATACGATGCGTCTGATGAAGCACACATAATTGCAATGCATACATACTAAGTTGTAATTTCATGATGTCTTGGACTTGTCTTAAGAGTCAAAAGGCTTTGAATCAAGAGAAAGACCACAAAGAAGAAGATGATGATGATGATGAACGAAAGAGATCATCGTATAGCGAATAGTGACGAAACCAAGGAGCGGTCATCTCCGATGCAATGATGCGTGATATGATTTGGGGTTGGTGTTGCTGTCGTCCTTGTCGGAAACGATGAAGACAGTAAGCGAGGGTGCGTTCTTCTCACCTCCCCTTCTTCTCCGCCATGAAGCTCGCGCTCTCTCTCTCCCTCTCCTTTTGTCCGGCCATGTGAATGCCTTGTCATATATGAACAGACATACGGAGAGAGAGAGAGAGAGAGAGAGAGAGAGAGAGAGAGAGAGAGGTGAAACTCGCGCGCTCTCTACTTTGGTTGGCCAACTGTGTTAATGCCGTCTCTCGCATGAACAGGCGCAGAGAGAGAGAGAGAGAGAGAGAGAGAGAGAGAGAGAGGGGAGCAGTAAAGGCTGGCCACCAACTCATATCTTTCTGCCTTTTTCAAGCCCTCCGGTGTGTATATGTCAGAATTAGTACCGGCGTCAGTCCATAGTACAGTACTTGGAATATTTCCGCTTTCATCTTACACAGCTGTTTACTGCAGATGTGGTCCGACACTATTGCTTCATTCATCAATCATAGGTAGTGCTTTACCACATAGCATTCCTTGGTTCTTCATCACCTCCATAATGATTCTGTGCCCACACACCTCTCTCTCTCTCTCTCTCTCTCTCTCTCTCTCTCTCCTCCACACAAACGTGATTCATGTATCCCGAGCCAAGAGAGAGGAGAGAGAGAGAGAGCAGGCAGATATGATACCTTCATCTTTCTCTGTCGATCTAGCCAACCAAATCTGAAACGTCACGTCATATCGAGAAGCACCAAATGGACTGCATCTGTTCCCATCTTTCTGCCTCATTATCTGAAACGTCACTTCACGTCGAGAGAGTAATGGACACCAACTGATATCTGCCTGCGCCGAAGGCAGCTCCACATTTCTCGTGCTCCCTTTGTCTCGACAAAGTCACCATAAGAAAGAGAGAGAGAGAGAGAGAGATATTCCATCTCTCTACCTAGCTTCTGCAACAAAATCTGAGACGTCACTTCATGTCAAAGACAGTGCACAGCTACACTAACTTGACTGCGTAGATTCCGAGGCATCTTTTTGTTCTGCCATCCTGCAATTTGTAGGGTCTCTCACATGCTCATCAAATGATCACAACAGCCAATGGGAAGAGAAAAGACTGCATTAAATTGTTTCATATGAAAGATTTGATGCTTCTACTCATCTTAGGTGTTTTCTACTGCTACCATGATCATGATGACTTGAAAACAAAGTTCGATTCCATGTGCTTTGCTTGTAGGATGTATTGTTACAATAGTTGAGATGCTCATTGCGACAACATGATCTTGCTTTCAACAAAGACCTGTAAAAGCCTATAATGGATCAGCCCAACAAATGCCATTGCAAGCACACATTGAATGAACAAAAGCCATGCCAGACAAACCACGCCCAAATGGATTGCAACAATCAGGATTATACAACAAGAAAACAAATAGAACAATTAATAGTGACCTATAAACCCACAAAATTCTCTCTCAAACATGTTTTTACATGGGAATTGAGGCTCAGTTTTGATGTCATAGTTTGACACCAGCAAATGGCAAGTCTATTCATATCATCATAAACATGCCCACCATTTGTACATTTTCTCCACATGAGCAATCGCATCGTCGAAAAGAGAAAGGTAATAGAACCATTTTATACATTATCTTCACAATAGAAAAAATATTCTAAATAATAAGAACCTAGCATGGGCTCATAAATTATCCAAATTCTTGCTTGTCTAAATCTTTTTTGCTCACTCTCGAGGTAGAAATTCTTCTCCAGCCTCGATGAAGACATCGAGGAACACATTTGATTGCACCAGTCATACAAAATGAAGCACACGAGTTCTATGTTACAACAGTTAAAGTACACACGGAAGAGAGGAAGCACATCCCTACATTCATCAATCACTACAAGTAGACCAAAACTGAGAAATTGACCGATGGCTTAGAATGCAAAGGCAAACTTTGATATAAAATCCAGCAACTGTTAAAGCCTTGATTCTTGCCTCCAGAAACCTGCACATAAAGCAAACAAGAATTGCCCAGGCAGCATGATGCGACTTCGATTTTCTCCACAAGCAATTAGAACAGTGTTGTAGGACATATAAGCTATTTTTTTCGTGATCTATCTCGTTTAACCCTCACTATTCTGCGGCCAGACTTGTCGCCACCACCAGTACCCAAAGAAAAGCTTCCTCCTTGAGGAAACTCATGACTGCCAGCTGCTTGAAATGGGGAAGGCCCTGGAGGAAGAGAGGAATTCTGTTGGCCACCAAACTGAAACACTGACGAAGCAGACTGAGTCGCTGGAGCACCAAATACTGGAAAAGAGGATGAAGTGCCTGGTTGGCCAAATGGTGGAATGGTACCAACTGCTGACTGGTTGGGGTCTTCGGCCATGCTATCCTTAACGTTCATCTGATCATTTCCAGGAGTTCCAGGGCTGAAACCAACAGCTGAGTTTTGCGAGCCAAATGCAGTACGTGCAGAAGAGATCGATGAACTATTAGCACCAGCAGAACCGAAAGAGAATACTGGAGGTGATGATGAACCAAACACAAAAGGTGAACTGCCAGAGGTTGGAGCTCCAAATGCAAGTCCTGAAAATGGAGATGAACCAACAGTATCAAAGGCAGGCGTTGTTGATGGTTGAAAAGTAGAACCAAATATGCTGGAGCTTGCAGCCGGTGCAAAGGAAGAGGAAGCACCGAGGCTGGAAAAACCAGCACCTCCTGAAAAAGAAAACATAGAACTTGAACTGAATGGCTTGGAACTTGTAGTTGCTTCCCCAAAATGTGAGCTGCTTGGACTAAAGGACGAAGAAACATTCATCCCAAATGTGGGAGATGAACAGGACCCAAACTGACTTCCTGAACTCTTGGAAAAAGGTGAGGTTCCACTTTTAGCTTGAGTTGCCTGGATGCCAATAAATCCAGTAACACTACCAGACATCGTGGTACCGTTGTCCACAACTGATGAAAC